GTGAGCTGTGGCTTGAGCGTACCGAGTTGCAAAACAGTTTTCTCAAAATCCCAATTGCTTTCGTTTATTTTTTTACTTTCTCATTGTTCAGCACGTAAGCCAAGGGCATACTTTGTGCCAATATTATTATCAACTTCCAATAGCACGAAATTGGGTGCCCCCAATTTCTCGGGGGCACCCAAATGTTGGGGTCCCTTTATGTAAAACTGTGTATTGGTAAAGGCAGGACCGGACCTAGGGGTGGGTGGCCTGGGTAGTTGCCCAGGGTACCATCAAAAGGGGGGGCCTTTTGTGTTTTTTTGTACTCCTGTCCGCCCGACAACATTCTCGATCACCATTTGTTACATACTCAATCGCCGTTCGTTTTTGTAATGCGGTTCTTGTCTGACAAAATGACTGTGTTGGGCCAATACTCGCATGCTTACTACCAATGTGATGTCGTTCTTAGTAGATAGGACAGTATAAAAAAAGTGACAGCCGTTTGCAACTCCCTGTAACGCCGAATTGGAGCGCAGCTCTTAAGGAGAAGGAGTGAAGGGTACTGAGGGGAGGGTAGACCCCTCCTCCTCCTCCTCCTCCCCTCATTCTTTAATATGCTCCGGGGGGGGGGGTCACGTGACCTCGGGGGGTGTCATGTGACTTCGGGGAGGGGGGTCACGTGACATCGGGGAGGCGTGACCTGGGGGTCACGTGACCTTGCGGTGTCACGTGACCTTGCGGTGTCACGTGACCTTGAGAGGGGTCACGTGACTTTGGGGAGGGGACCACGTGACCTCTGAGGGGTCACGTGACCTTGGGATGACCTTTGGGGTCACGTGACCTTGAGGTGACCTTGGGATGACCTTGGTGACGGCGACGGCGCTCAAGCCGGAAACGGGCGCCTAAGAGCTGCGCTCTAAAAAAAAAAGTGAAAGCCGTTTACCACTCCCTGTAACGCCGAATTGGAGCGCAGCTCTTGAGGAGGAGGAGGGGAGGGTACTGAGGGCCACGTGTTCTCGGGGGGGGGGGGGGGGGGGGGGGTCACGTGACCTCGGGGGTCACGTGCCCTCAGAGGTCACGTGACCTCGGGAGGGGGTCACGTGACTCCCCAGGTCACGTGACCCCCGGGTCACGTGACCAAAATTTTTCCACTAGATTTAGCGGGGAAATTTTTTCTGCTAGATTTAGCGGGGAAAGTTTTCCGCTAGATTTAGCGGGGAAATTTTTTCCGCTAGATTTAGCGGGGAAATTTTTTCCGCTAGATTTAGCGGGGAAATTTTCCCGCTAGATTTAGCGGGGAAATTTTTTCCGCTAGATTTAGCGGGGAAAGTTTTCCGCTAGATTTAGCGGGGAAATTTTTTCCGCTAGGATTTAGCGGGGAAAGTTTTCCGCTAGATTTAGCGGGAAAATTTTTTCCGCTAGATTTGACGGGGAAATTTTCCCGCTAGATTTAGCGGGGAAATTTTTCCGCTAGATTTAGCGGGGAAATTTTTTCCGCTAGATTTAGCGGGGAAAGTTTTCCGCTAGATTTAGCGGGAAAATTTTTTACGCTAGATTTGACGGGGAAATTTTTCCGCTAGATTTAGCGGGGAAATTTTTTCCGCTAGATTTAGCGGGGAAATTTTTTCCGCTAGATTTAGCGGGGAAATTTTTCCGCTAGATTTAGCGGGGAAATTTTTTCCGCTAGATTTAGCGGGGAAATTTACCCATAATGCACCGCGCGGTTACGCCGACGGCGACGCCGCTCAAGCCGGGAACGGGCCCCTAAGAGCTGCGCTCTAAAAGGAGGAGGGGGATGCCAAGGTTGGAGTCCGCCCAGGGCACTCGATGGTGTAGGGCTGGCCCTGGGTGAAGGGTCACCTTAAACTTGCGGAAATAAACGAAGGACGGAATAGGACAAAACATCTGACTAGCAACTTTGCTTTAGTGTGCTTCTTCATACACATAATCACCTTCTTCAGCGGCTGTTCACATGCACACAAAAAGACCATCAGCTACGAAGAAGATTTACGCGATGAAACAATTAAATTTAAAGGTTCATACAGATTAGTTTTCTTAGATTACCAAAGTTTACATCCTCTTGTACCACGAGCCACAATCTGTGCTCGAATGTCGCGCGCCATGCTATTTCCTTGAACCGCTGCAGCCAGGCTTACAATGAAGCACCAATGTCCCGGTAGCTTGCGAGGTTCGCAGAAGTAAGATTTCGTAACACAACGAAAGAAAACGGTGCCGTGTGAAGCAGCCTTTACCCGCCAACGCATACGATTTGCCGCGTTCTGCTTCGTCTCTGCCCCTACGGTCGTAGCTGTGCCCCTCGCAAAGGTCGCATGACACGCGCGGCACTGGATTGGTTGGGACTGTTTTTAGCGTCTGTTGCGGTCCATCCCAAGGTGAAACGGAGCACAGCCCGTTGTTGCAGCTCCTGGCACAAGTCGAGCATTTACGAAGCGGAGAAAGAAGCGGTCGTTTCGGCAAAAGTCGCTCGAGGTACTATGCAGAGGCCCAACCTCAATAGTCGATATTTAAATTGACTGGCAGCACCCACGCGACAATCAAAAGTAATGTGTCAAACAAAAAAAAACAAAAAAAATGCTTGTGGAGTAGGTAAACGGGCCAATTTCGACACTCTGATTGGCACGTTTGCATGGATGCCATGTCGCTTGGTTTACCGGGTGGGGGACCTTAAGTAAATACATCTCAGTGATTCAGCACCAGCATAGTTAGCTCCCACATTTTCATAAGCTTATCAGGTAAAGAAGTCGAGATCAGCACAGAGATGCTCCATGATTGTGCCCTTATTTTTTTACGTGCCGCGATTGGTTTAGCAAGGAGATAGCAAAGGCGTAAAGATGACAAGTGCTGTGGCAATGCGCTTTTTGGCATCCCATGATTGGCTCTATCGGATCATAGCTCGATTGTGCTCAGATGCAAAGCCTTAGAACATTCCAGTGGAGCAGCAGTCTTGTGGGGCTAACCTTCACCAGCTCGTTTGCACACTGACTTTTTGTTTCAACTAAAGATGTTCTGGACCTATTTGCCTCATAAAGTCTAAAGGAAGTTATCAAGATGTGCATCCAACTTCGATATACTAAATGTTTAGAATTAAATTTTACAAATTAAAAAATTTAGAGTTCGATATACTGAATGTTTAGAATTAAATTTCACAAATTAAAAAGTTTAGAGAACTTTGAGAGGTACACTATATCCGTTTTTGCACCTAGGTACGCTGAAGGGTAAACAAGGATAGTCATAGTCATCAATTTCATAATTAAACAAAATTAATTATTAATTTCGTTAATTACTGTCTTTAAGGTATGTGTTTATACGGGAAACATCAAGGCGGCCACACTCCAAGACTTTCATTTTGCAGAGTTCTCGCGAACAGCCCACGTTCTTAACTAATTACCTTAATAATCAATAAAAAAATATATTTAAAAAGAAAAGCTAATTAATAAAACAACGAAGATCGGCACGTTGTCACTTGTCTGAATGGAAAAAACTATTTACTGTTTATTCACCGGACTATATACTCCCAAAAATTGTTTTGAAAGGGGGAAGTAACATATCAGACCAAGAAGTTCAACAGGGCAGGTTCCTTGTCCCTGAGTGCGCAACTGTAACTATGTTCAAGTAACATCTCCATTGAGAAAACTGAAATGCCCTCAAATATATAAATGTCTATAAAGGCTCACAGAAAAAAAAAAAGGCTTGAGGTACACCCAGGGATGGGTTTTGGGATTGGGGAAACTATGTGCCGTTGTCTAGGCTTCTCGCGTGGTTTCCTAGCTGGGAGCTGGCTTCGCTTGGAGAAAGGATTTAGGGTGCTGTTTGGCGTGGCTTCGAGGCTGGTGATGTCGGCTCATTCGATGGGACAGTTAAAGGGGGTTATAACAGGAAAATTAAACAGACAGATTATTCTTGAAATGAAATGCTCATTGGCTACTTAGTATATACACCAAGTTACGCAATTTTTAGAGCTCTGGTAATTGCAATAATCAATTTACGAATTTTTATTGTTTTCATCTGGCGACCAGGCAACACTAACCAAGTTAGCCACATTCTGGTGTCCATAAACCACGTTATCATGAATGCACTCTGCTTCTAGGCGCCCCCATGATCGCCCAAGCTCTCCTCGCCGCAGTACGAACAAAGCTGCTCATGCAACTTGGTAAACCGAACGCTATTCTTGCAATTGCCCCCGGCCCGGTGACCTTCCACCCTGCATGCGCCTGCGACCCGGACGACAGTGACCACGGCGAGTTCGTGCGTAACTGGCCGTCGCTGGTCACCAGCGGGTCGCAGTCAAAATGAACACCTTCCAACATTTCTAGATAGCAATCACTCTCATCGCTGCTGCAATCAACGTCAAACACTTTGACAAGGCGAGCGATGCCGTAGACGTAATCGTCACGGACCACATGCTTGAAACGCGGAAGGTAAACGAGGAAGCTGAAGCTTCAGACGCCAAGAGAGCCACGTCTGTGAGTGTGTGAGTGAGTGCATGAGTCTGTGAGGCAACAGCCAATCGAGGATGTGGCATTTTCGTGGGACCCCCAAGATGACAACTGGGGACGGGGTTTACATCAAAACTGGTTTGAAATTGATGGCTTTCGCAGCAAAATGGTTTCAGGGATATCCAATAGTATCCTCAATGCCATTTAAGTATAAAAATGGGTAACTTTAATAACATTTAAGACAGTGTAATAAAATTTTAATTTCAAGCAGCGTAAGAAAATTTAAATTTCAATTTACAACAGTGTAAGAAAACCTAAATTTTAAAAGATAGCAATTCGTGCTTCAGTGGTTGACGCACGTGAACGCAGGACGACCATGTTGCTAAAACTGGGATGTCAAGGTGCTGAAAAAAAATTGCCTTGTCTAAAGAACAATGGAGTGTGCTTGACTCAAGTGCATTGCACTTTGTAACTGCTTAGCACACACTGGTGCTAGCTAGTAGATAGCCCTAGAAGCTTTCCGATCCTCTTATATGTTATCGTAACCTTTTACGATGCACTCACCCTCGAGAGATGCCCGGTACACGGAGCCCTCGCTTCTTGCCAGCTTGGGCAGGGAGACTGCCACAAACACCATCAGCAGGCAGGCCACCTGGTACTCGTCCTCGCCCACATCTGGGCACACCAAGATGGCGGCTTCAGCCGCTGTCGTCCAGCCGTTGTTTCGCGAAGGGGTTATCATCCACGTTCGATTTCACCACCGGAACTGTAGCGGGCACGGCTTGGCAGCTTTCGAAACAATGCAGGTGTAAATGTACCGCGACGCCTGTCTCGACCGCAGAAGGCACGGTTATCCCCGACCGCTCTTACGTTCAACCCAAGTCCTTCGACTTGTACGGTTATATCACCCAAATGCTTAGACAGGGAACTTCGTTTGCGATGCGACTGGCTGCGCGGAAATAAAGGGGGGTCGTGTACCTGCAGGCACTTCACAATAACCCAAGTCGTAGCAACTGGGTGGCTGATTCCACCACTGGAACTATCGATCAGTGACCTTCCTATGGCAGTCGTGCTAGAGCATCTGCAAAATTGAAAAGTGCAGCCCGCGTCACGCTTTAATAGATAACGACAAAACACAAAAAAATCAAGCGCCATAGTGACAAACTGCGGCACCCGTCTCAAGTTGTCTCGCAACGCACGTGACATCATTATCGCAAATGGCCTCGTCACGTTTCCCCCAAGGGCTTCTGAAAGACGAAAGTTCCACACACTATGTACACAGAGTTTGCTGGTCGTATCTTCCCATCTTTGAGCCCTTCTTTAGGGAAACCCAGACTATTCGGCAGTTTTTATGCTATCACACCTCCCCCCTTTCTCTAGGCCTTTCTCTAGGTCAGTGGTTCTCAACTGGGGTGAACCCATTGGGTTTGCAGGACCCCATTTGCATGATTGCATGTGATCGCTTTTATACCCCATTTATATGATCGCATGTGATCGCATGGTGGTGGCACCATGCGATCACGTGACACAGTGACGTCACGGCACATCATGATTTTCCTCTACATTTCGCTTTCATGGCGGGACCACTGGCCTAGAGAAAGGCCCTCGTCGCAACCATCGACTCCCACTTTATACCCTAGGCGGTGCAAGCTACCGACCGTTACAAAGGGCACAGCCGTTACAATCTAAACACCCATTCCTCCTTTAACTTGATGCTTCTCACTTCTCCAGTCTATAAAAGTAAAGAACGCCCTGTTCGCACTGCAATCAGTTGCCTTATTTTCTACTCAATTCCCCTTTCCCCGCAGGGTCCCCCATCACTTTGGCGCATCCCCAAGGTCCACGCTTGAGAACCAGTGCCCTAGGCCATTCCCCAGATTATTCCCTAGGTCGCGCTTACCGCTCTTTTGCGACTTGAGAGCAGTCACCAGCGCAGGATCAACCTTGCAGGGCAGGCCCGCGGCGGATGCCATCTCGCTCACCGCCTGCGCCAACGTCAAAAGAATGTTTGCGCACAATCTTTCAGGGCAGAATCTACGAGAGGCGGCAAACACCTTAGAGTGCTTAAGTGCTCATTCAAAAAGACACCGCTGACAACACGTCCAAGCTTCGCTTTCCCCCCACAAAAAGCAGGCCTTTGATGGGCTATGGACCCCATACTCTAATCAATACCCGGCAGAATTTCCGACGTTCCTCCCTCCTGTGGGACAAAAAGTAGCGACAAAGAGCTAAAGCAAAACTAACATGATGACACTGGGTCGTTTGTTTACATTCTGATGTGCTGACGACATGTGAACATTTAGTTGTTTTTCTACAAGCTGAAGTGTTCACAAAACGCGCAAACTGGGTCGTTTGTTTACACGCTTTTGCGCCGACGTCGCCATTGGGTCGTTTACACGCCAATGTGCCGATGACACGTCGACATTGCAGGGATGGAACTGGGCGAAGCAGCTTTGGAGCAATCTTGGGAGCAGGAAAAAATAATTTGGAGCAGGATGGGAGCACCAAAAAAGCGGTCTTGGAGCAAGTTGGGAGCAGCGTACGAGTTTTACGAATGTTAAAATAGATACTAAATGGTTTTCAAAACTCAAGGAAATTTTGGCATACAGATGACTTAATGGAAGTTTCAATTAGCATTTTATTTTAAACATTTTTCACGAAATTACACGAAACATATAGTAAAGCAAAACTGCACGACAGTGTGACATGTGATGGAACCAACTTGCAAAGGGGCAAATATAAACAGGTAGGAATAGATTTCAGCTTGTACCTTGCTCCGTCATACACCTCACTGCTCACTCGCCTTTCTATGTTCCTAAGTTTTCTGCGCGGGACCACGGGACAGGCCAATCCGGGCTGCGGGCTTGCAATACATCTTTCCTCCAAAGCATATTAGGGCGCGTTCACTGCCGCGTGCGTGTCATGCACGCGCAGTTTCTGCTTAACTGCAATTTCGAGCGAGCACTGGCTGGACTGTGATTTTGCACGTGTGGACTGTGATTTTCGAAAACAATGGAAACGTCTATAGTCACACAAGTAAAGTCAAGAGGGAGGCACGCCAACTTAAATACATTCGAGTTTATTGCAATATGGCGGCACTGTTCGCTCCATTATTCGGATGAAGCGACTCCAGGACTCCAGAAAAGCATAGAGCAACGGCAGCTATACTTGCGCAGCAGTTCCATCCCAGACATGGTTAGTTTTTCTACATGTTGTTTACCTGCTGATATACTGGACCATTTCTTTAGACACCAATGTGCTCACATGCCGACAATGGGTAGTTTGCTTACACGCTAATGTGCCGACATGTAGACACCGGACCGTCTACACGCCGACGACTTCGTACCGCCCATAACCGCTCGGAGCCTTGGTAAGCCCACTCACCAGAGAGTCTCCGTTGGAGACATGGTGCTTGAGGTCCGCCACCGAGCCCAGCAGGAACGGGATCCGCACCGACAGCACCTGCAACAGAAGACGGGTAAGGTCGCAAGCACGGACCTCCTCTCCCTCACTCCTCACGTCTTGTAGGGCCTCCTGGGCGAGCATCCGGAAACAAAGGATGACCCCGACGATGGTCATGCGCTGCAGGACGCTGTCCACATCTGCGACGAGACAAGCGGGAAGAGAACGTCAGCAGTCAGGCGCCGGGACCAGGCACGTCACCCGTCCCCGGACACTTTCGTCGGTCTCCGTTAGTATCCCACATTGGATTGAGTGCAGTGGGTCCTATCTTTTTGCTGCTAACAGCCAAATGGCTGCTGTTTATTCTTACATAATAATGAATAAAGAGCTCAGTGCAGAACAAGGTACATTTCCTCACTGGCATCTGCGGCGAGAAGGAAGATGGGATCGATAGCCAGAGCGCAAGGACACGCCGTCGCACCTTCCCCGTACGTATCGCGTAAATATCCCGCCGTTTCAGTAGCGTTTTGTTTGAGCAACCTGGCTGAGAACGATTCCTTCCGCAACTACGGTAACAGCTTCCAAGACAGGAGAAGTTACAGGACAATTAAGGATGGGAGGTTCGGACTCTACGTCACTTTACCCGTTGGACCAGGCACGACGCACCTCTGTAAACTGGGTGCCAACCCAATGGTCGCGCATCTGTGCTGGAAAGTGCAGCGCTCGCGTGGCTATAGGTGTACGCCACTGTTTCTGGGGGGACTAAAGTTACCGACGCACAAAGTGCTCGCTCGTGCGTTTTAGTTCCGACGAGCATGCTGGTGCATTTTTTACGCACTCCAAACACGATGAAATGCAAAGAGACGAAAACGGACGACTCGCTCTTTCTGTCCTTCGCATTCCGACTAGTCACTTTTTCTGTTGAAGTAATTGCCGTACGCGTCACTGACTCGTGTCGTGAACTAAAAGTGTGCGTCGTCTAGTGGCTGCTGCGCCAAGTATTTGAATGGGCTGTTGTTTGGGCACATACCCTCAAGCACCAATCGGACGCAGGAAACGTGTTGGCATACAACTCAAATCGAACCTGATCGCGCGCTTCGTGCCCGAAAATTGGCGACCGCCAATGTTGCCCGATGGGGGTTTGAAAAAAATCATGTTTTCTTAAAAAGAGTGCTCGTAGGTGAAAGAAGTTTGACTGTTATTACAGTGTTTACCACGAGGTTAATAGCGCCTGCCGTTGTTTGAGCCGGCAAAGTGTCCGGGGACGCGGGTGCGTCAGATGCGAGCAGCGCTTACGCTGTGCCATCCGGGGTCCTCGGATGAGGAGACAGAGCAAGCCGTGCGTCAGGCAGAGAGAGAGAGGACAGAGAGAGAGAGGAAAGAACAAAGAGAGAGGTCAGGCGGCAAAGCGGACGCCACGAGGACAGCCACTGACTCTGCAGCTTGCGAAAGAGCTCCTTCATCTGCTCCGGCTTGTCGTAGTTGGAGCGCAGCTCCACCAGGATCTCTCGGTTCAGCAGCACAATCTTCTGCAAGGAGACCCGAAAAAAAACGTGCTTCCACTTAACCCACGTTACGGCGCTTTTTGCGTTCTAGGAAGCTCGACGCTCTCCGAGTTTGTTTTTGAGAGGCATCAAACAAATGGAGTACGGTGCAGCTTGCGAAATTGGGAAGAAACTACGAAAACCGAAACTTCTCCGCAGTATTTAAGATGACCCTGCGAGACGCACACATCTCTCATTCATTGGACCGAAATCGACGTACCGCACAATCGGAACTCATACTGCTGCAAGCATGACAGAGAAAAATGCTGCTCCGTACTTCTAGAAGATTAGAGTTTACTCTTGCCCCGAGTGTAAAAATAAGGGGGCTTTCCGAGCCAGTCTCGCCTTGCCGTCTCGTTTACTTGCCATCTATCTCCATAGCGCCATTCTTATTTCCAATGAACCTTCTATGCACTGGTCCAGACTCCGAGAGAAACCCATGCGCGTGTTTTGGACGGTCCGACCGTGGGAAAAGCTTACCTTGAGTTCGGCCACTTGGCTTGCAATGTGCCACATGAGGCTTTCGTTCAGGAACTTCATCCCGTAGGGACCAATCAGCTCGGCCAGGGAGCGCAGCTCTGCGAGAACACCGTGCGCAATTCAGTGATCAAAAATGGCCTAAAATGCTAGGTCAGTGAATCTGGCAAGAACACGGTGGGAGAAGCCAAGAAATTTTTCAACCACCGTCGTTAAAATTTATATTTTTATTTTAGCTTAAATGAACTCGGCGGGGAAGTGCCGAGGCGAGGGACGTCATTTTCCGGCCACGTTTTTTGCATCGTCCAAATGTAAGGTATCTTGTGAACACTACGGCACCTCCCGATTCCGTCTCTTGAAAGTTGCAAAGTCACCTTGTGAAGCCGGACAGCCAAAACTTGCATCCTAAATGTCGTAGCTTGTCAGGGTATGAAACGGTCCTAAGTTGAAATACTGTAAACAATTTGTTTTCCGTGGGCTCAATATTTTGCAAATTTTAATAAGTATGGGTATTAGGAATATCTCGCAGGCACCAATCTCCACGATTTAAACCGACGTGCTACCTATTAGTTATCACGGAGTCATATAATTGCGAAACCAATTTTGCGCAATATTTTCCACTTGTGAATTTTGCGAAAAGGAAGTCATTTAGAGTACACAATATGTGGCAGAATAACGGTTAAGAGTTGAGCTTGTTGGTACATACTTGTAAGTATATCAGCTTGAACTTTAGAATTAAACTTGAACACGAAAAAAGGGAGGACAGGAGGGAACACACAGCTGACTAGCAACTATGTTTTAGTCTAAACTTGTTCCTCCTTCATTTAGAGTCCCAAGTAGAGCATGATGAACTTATTACATAAATAAACGTATTCCACTAACAATGAGCACTACTGATATTTACACTTGTACAAATTATACAAAGCATTTCCACAGAATTCCCTAAAACTAACTCGCCACAAGCTCGTGCTGCTGTTATTTAGGGCGTGACATTTCGTAGGTAGTGTCTTTCTTCTTTGTGAAGGGTGTTTGATGGGGTGCTGACGCAATCTTTCGCGTGCTCCTCGATAGCGAGCGCCTCTAGGATCTCACGTGCATGAGGATTGTTGTTACTGGCCAGAATGCTGGTGCTGTTAAAAGCTGCACTGCACTGGCACTTCCTCCAATGAGCTGCCAGATGTCCTGCCGCTGTTCCCTTAAGAGACGCTGCATGCTCGCGGGCTCCGTCGTTGATACATCGGCCCGTTTGGCTGATGCAGCGTTTCCCGCATGAAAAGGGAATGTGGTACACCACTCCTGTTGTGTAGGATCGCGATAATTCAAACTCGGATAATTCGTACTTCAGGTTAATTCAAATAGATTTGAAAATTTTGGTTGTCCCGCTATGCTTTAAATGTATTTATAAGCCGCTTAATTCGAACGGCGTTTTCGCTTAATTCATACTTTTTTGTTCTCACGGCCATGTTGAGTGCGCTTTTTTCCGAGCACCAGTGCACCGCAGCGAAGCAATACCCGCGGAGCTTGCTTTCGCGAGTGTTCCTTCTGCGCACTACACCGGTGCTCGGAAAGAAGTGCACTCAACGGGGCTCAAGCGCGCACACGTTAGCGGAAAACGGCGTTCACATTATGTGCTTCAAGACTAGCAATGATGACCAAGACGACATCGAGGATGAGTAACAGCTCACTCGAATCAAGCTTTCTGGCCTTGAAGGACGTAATGTGAATGCCGAACTGGCGGAATACGCTAGTCTTGACGACAATGTGTGTGTTTGTCGTGATGACTCATTAGAGGACATAGTACAGGAAGTAATGCCAGCACAGTGCAGCAGTGAGAGTGAAAATGACAATGAATAAAAGGATGACCCACTACCAACTGTCACAGCCGCAGAGGCTTTTGAGCACATCGCTCAGCTCCGGAAGTTTCTGTCTGCAAAGAAAGAGTCCCGTAAGAAGCTACTTGCAATGGCTGGTATTGAAAATTTTGTTTTGAGATCTCATGTGCTGAGTAAACGGTCCACAATCGACAACTTTTTTGCCGGATGAATAAACTTAACGTCACGGTTCTTCCACCAATGTGTTATGCCTGTACTTGCTTATAATTAGGCCTATGTAGAGGAAATGCAAAAATCTGCTTTGTATGTGTAGCTATCCATGTAACGAATCATAATGTTGTCTAGTATTATATTTAGATGAATTTCTGATAATTCAAACTTCTGATCATTCAAACTAAAATCTGTGGCTTCCTGGAGTTTGAATTAATGAGAGTCTACTGTACTGCGTTCTGTAAGCCGTGTCGCCAGGATTTTTCCTTTGTTCTTCGGTTACCTTGACTGCACATGGAGTAGGCTTTGTTGGGCGCGGTGCATACTACTTGAACGTCATTTCTTGCGGCAATCTTTTTCAACTTGTGCGTGATCTCATTAATATAGGCTAGCACTACGATCTCCCTTCCAGTTTTGTCTGCGTTTTCGTTCTCTGGCCTTGTACGCTTCAAGTTTATGTGGATGTTCTCACACACGGGTACCATGAGACTTATCGGATATCCTGAATCTCCAAGCCGTGACATCTGTTTTTACAAGCTTTGCTCTATTTGATGTTCACACGATTTGCGTAGGGCAGAGATTAGACCCGTGCTTGTGACAGTTCCCGAGTGTCCAGATGTGAACGGCAGAAACCCTTTTGCTGGCCGGAATACGTACCTCCAGCACAGATGTCCTTGATTGAAAATCAGAGTGAGGTCTAGAAATTTTATATTTTTGGCCACAATCAGGGCAACTTCCTTGGAAACATCCCAGACCTGTGTCTTGAAGGAGGACAGGAAGCATCCCATCTTCCTTCAAGACTGGCGGCACTGTTTTTTTTGGTTCTATCGCTTTGATCGAATTATTGCTTATATCAAATTTTTTTGCCATCCCATTAACTTCGTTATAACGAGGGATTACTGTAGACTAAAACCGATGTTGCTTTAGGTGCTCTACACTGTACCAAAAGGAAAAAAGAAAAAAGACTTTTTCTAGAAACACGACAAAGCTCTTCAGTAGGACAGGTGCAAAATTATCTATGGCAGACGGTGGCACCACCAACGGTTAGGAGGCAGACGGAGGAAGCAGACGGCGCTCCCGCCGCGTCTCACCCTGCACGTCAGAGAACTCCTCGGCCGTGAACGGAACCTGCTGGCCGTCGTGGATCAGGTTGACGAAGGCCCGTTGCAGTGGGGAGTAGCACATGTGACCGGCCGTCACCTTGCGTAGCAGCACTTCCAGATACCTGCGTCGAGGACGACCTCGTCAGTCTGCGCCGACCAAACGCTCGGTCGCCCCGCATCCGCCACCTTCTTCGCCGGCCCGCCAAGGTGACACAAGAGCCCGCCTTGAGCCGAGAGTTGCACGGAGGGCACGGTCCCATCCACAAGGTAGCATACGGCTACGTCACAACTACGCTCAACTTGCGCAAGTCACCGAGACATTCGTGATCCGCAAGCTTCGTGGCGACCGATTCGACTATGAGCTTGGCACGTGGCGTACGAGGCAAGAGTGCTCCCGTAACCCGCCATCTCGTAACTCGCCATAACTAAAGCCCCTCGATAAAACTCACGTCGCACTCCTTACGAGCACCGCCAACCGTTGTTGCGCAAACACGCGCACAAGCCACGAGCGAGTGCTGCATCGCCACTCGCTTCCAAGGGCAGCTCATTTCAATGCAGTACCGCCATTTTGCCTCCAAGCTCCACAGGAGGCAAAGACAAGCATGTAGAGGGGCTTTAGTCGTAACATAGTCGAACGCAACTCAGTGAATGGGACTTTAGATTGCCCTACCAACAAAAATTCATAGATTCCCAGCGGTATCCCACCCCTCCTCAAACAAAAAGATTGTAGTTCAAAGCATTGATCGAAAACGATTCTTTCTATAATCAATGACAAGCTAAGAAATGTGGGGCATGGGCCGTCCCGAGCACCTTTGTATCGCTCCTCTGCCAGTGAGGACACAGCATTAGCCGACTGCTCACCAGTTTGTGTACAGCGTGGCAATGGTCTTGTCGCCGTGGCTGTCCTGTGGTTGTGTCTGCTGCAGGAGCACATTGTTGAACACCCGCGTGATGTCCACGTGCACTGCAACGGGCAAGAGACGGTGACGTCACCGGCTGTCACCAACGCCGCCAATCCAACCACTCCAAAGTTCACAATTGCATGCGATCGAGTAATCAGGGTGCCCTCTCGACTATTCGTGTTCATATACATTTGCACGAGCCACACTAATGTAAAATGTGTTTGGTGTGTCAATACTGCGATGCATCTCTCATTGGGAGGCTCACAGTATGTTTCATAGTTGTTTGTGCTAATAATATATTAGTACCGTAATATCCCGAGAAACGCCCCCTCCGAAAGATAACCCACAGCTATTTTTAGCTCGATTTGCTATATTCTTTTAGACACCAAAAGATAGCCCACTCCTAGCGATCATAGCGTTTGAATCACCGACCTCGGCGTAAATGCGGCTAGGTAGCTATGGCGGAACATAAGTGAACGTTGCTGACTGGAAAGTACAGTCATCTTTTGCTTCATTGTCCCTTGCTGTAATAACAAGTTTGGCAGGAAAACGTGATCTAAGAATCGCGTTTTTAAACTTTTCTCGGGTGTACATCGAAAGTTAGCCACCCCTTATTTTCACTCAATTTGGTCTCGATTTTAGGTAAACTATCTCTCGGGATACTACGGTGAGTGTCCACACTCAAAAAGTGACCATATATAGAGAACATCTAAATTTAGAAAGCGTAAATAGCTAAAAAAGAAGTTCGTACTTAGAAGGTGTCCATACTCGAAAAGTGTCAATATTTGGAAGGCCTCAAAATTACAGAGCCTTCCATCAGAGTACGAGAGACCCAGACCAAATCCTAGTGAACCTGCTCGACTTTACGTACAGAGTGTCCCACTCTGGGCGTTCTGTGGCACTTTTGTCCGAGGAGATAAAAGCGCGACACGAATATGACAAAATTAACAAACACGGACAGCACTCGTAGCAGCACAAAGCCGGGCAACAGTTCCCTCGCCCTGGCACGGCCGAGAGCTCTGAGTAGTTTCCGTGCTCACCGTGGTTCTCAATGCCCTGCAGCACACTCATGTAGGCCTGGACACTGGAGAGCAATTCAGAAGGCTTGGCGATCTCGTGGCTTTCCGCATTGTACATCACCATGCCTACCAATGCCCTGCGCACAAACAACCTTTAAATTGATGGAAACGTCAGCACTCCAAGCGTTGCTGCATCTCACCCCAGCAAGTGCACTTCCTCGACGCGTACTATGGCGACTAAGAGCAATGCAAGGATCTTATTCGTGCTCCACGGCCAATGGGATTACAGTACTCGTCGAGAATGCTGGAAAATTAATCGCAAAGCGACGTCTCTTAGGCAGTTGGCGATTGTAGCTTCGGCATAAATACTTTCTAAAAGACGTAGGTTACGCTACGTTCGTAAGTGTAATTACTATCGGCAAAAGCGAGATCAAATGTTAATGAGACATTCCCACGCATAAAGAACACCAGGGTGCGTTTGCTACACGTTTGGGTGTTAATACACACAATTCATGTCAAGTTTCAGCTGTTTCCGCCCACATTGCGCAGAATGCATGCTCCGAGCCATGTTTATGCATCTGGCACACGACGCGATTATACTATACGGGCAACGGACTGTAGTGGCAACAGCTCTTGGCGTTCTTTTGTAACGACTCGTGTGCACGAGGCATCGGTTTGGAGCGTGGGAGAGCTTGGATGCACCCACTTGTTGAACCGGTTCTCCAGATGCTGAGCGAGGTATTCCCTCGGAGCAAACGTGTGCTCCCAGACGTGGATGCTCGACGCATAGTTGATGGCAAAGCACAGCTCCGTCAGGGCCATGTGCAGCTTGTCCATCCTGCACAATGGGCAGACAAACATCCAAACCAAGCCTGAAAGCGTTTGCTTCCTGACAAAGATGTTCCCACTCACACACATAACCTGCTTTTTGTATGGCCCGTACAGTTCCACGCAAGACGTTTGCGTGGAACTCGTTTGCGAATATCGCAAAAAATACCTTTTATGATAACGAATAGATCACAACATATCCCCCATGGTAACAGACAGATAGCATATCACCCTAAATCACAAAATTGTGTGCCTGCAAAATATTCCCGATGCCCACACTCTACCGAATTCGCGAAATATTTAGCCCAAGAAATTAGTTTCTTATGGCATCTTAAAATAGTTTTAAATACTGAATGACATAGCAGCATCTACGAGGTGGAAGTGGCAAACTAACGCCGGACAAATGGAAGAAAGTGGCAGACAATTTGGTGAAAAACTCTAAAAGCCAACCCCATTCGGGAGGTAGATTCTGGAAGAATTGCAAAGAAGCCAGGCCTAAGCCAAGCAAGATATTCGCTGTCAATCAACTCTCTTTTCCGTGACGGTCTGTATGACCAAATGCCGCCTCATCGACAAGAAGGTGGCAATTTGAGGAGACCCAAAAAAGGCTGAACCTTTCCCAATATAGCAGAGAAAAAAGAGAAGTGATAAAAGTGTGAAAGAGAAAATAACCTCAAACGCTAAAGGCCCGTTCACACTCTTGCGACTGCTTGCGACCTCTTAAACCTGGGTTCCTTAAAACTTCTTAAACCAGAGAACACACTGGCGCCATCTATTGGGAAGCAGTGTAAACTCGGCGGTCCGGCATATTTTTTTTTATTTCTCGCGCAATATCCTTTCTTTTTTGGCTCGAAAAACTCTTGTCAATGTTATAAACGAGCCTTTCTATGGGTATTACGCCCATTTGACCTCGGAAATCCCGCAAAACTTTCGCTTTTGTGAAATGCAGTTCTAGGGTCACCGCATAGATGGCGCCACAATGTCAGTGTGTTCCCTCATTCTAGAAACATTTAAGAAGTTGTAAGAGATCTCGTCTCTCTCAGTCGTACTCGGTCGCAAGAGTGTGAACGGGCCTTTAGAAAGGCAACGAAGAAAAATTTAAGCACGTCTCGATCACAACTGATACATAACGTAACGTTTACGTTAACAATCGTTAATGTAAACGTAACGATTGTGTTGCAAATGAGCTGGGCACACGCTGTGTGTGCGTGTCTGCCTCGTCATGTGAAAGTATGACATCATGTGTCACACACCATAATGTCACGGTGTGACAATGTCGTGCAACACTGACATTGAGTGACACCCAAACTTCACACTGAATCATGTGACATCATGAGGTCCCCCGACACCAAGTGACCTCGACACCTGAACTCGACATCGAGTCACATTATGTCACGAGGTCATGTGACAGCATGAGGTAACATGACACCACATGACACCCAAACTCGACACCAAGTCACTTGACCTTACAAGGTCACATAACTCCATGACATCACATGACACCCAAACTTGACATTAAGTCAAGTGACCTCATGAGGTCACGTAAATCCACATTACACGACACTAAGCCACGTGAGGTCATGAGGTCACGTGACCTGTGTCAATGAAATGTGCGGCTTTTCTCGGCATGAAAGCAGAGACGCACGTGCTGAGCTCCTCCCGCGTCCGACGGTAGCTCTCTGTGCCGGGTTTGTCGCGGGGTGGCGCCGTGGCCGGGCGCTGCTTCTTGTCCCGCTTCTTCTTGTGCACCACCAGCGCCATGTTGAGCGCCGAGTGCTTGGGCAGCAGCCGGTCGCTCAGGGTGCACTGCTCGTCGCAGATGGTCGTGATTATGTTCTTGGCCTCCTTGGACATCTCGTCCAAGAAGGCGTTCACCAGGGTCAGGCTACGGTCTCCGATGTGGTGCCGCTGTGCACGCCGGGAGGAATCCACAGACAGAGTCAATCGAGGACAACTCCAGAGGCCCACACTCGCGTTTGCTTACCACCCAGTTCTCCCGACCTCTTACGACGAGAGAACTCGCTGGCACCACCTATAAGGTGGCTCTAGAACTGCATGTCACTACAGCAGCTTTCCGGCAGTTGCAAGATCAAAAGTGCATACTATCTACGAGATATGATCGTTTATAACATTCTCGAAAGTTTTTCGAGCCAAAAAAAACAGGAATGACGCGTGAAGAAAAAAGGAAATATACGGAAATGCCACGTGTTCCACGGTTACCTGGTAGATGACGCTAATGTGATCCTCTGGACGTAAGAGATTCGAGAAAGTGCAAGGGCACTCGGTCGTAAGTAGTGGAAAGTGTCTGTAGTAGCCTTTAGTCCCTGGATGCAAGCGGCATTGTGCTCACCTCCTCGGGACAGAGCTCGTGGGTGCAGTTCATGAAGTGGCCGCAGACCAGCGGGAAGGCGATGATGTAGCGTGTCTGGGCCGGGAACTCCAGGCACAGGTGGAACTGGTCTTCAAATGCCCGGCTGAAGAAACTGCGAGCGAGCGGGGCTGGACTCAGCCGACCGATTCAAAACTGCGGCTCTGCTACTCGACTGCTGTTCCATAAAAACTCGATTCGTCGGTGTTAAGGCAAAAAAATACTAAACAAAGTGCGCGCTTCAACTAAGTTTTACACGAACGATTATCATAACCTGTAATTTCGGCCTGTGACAATTTGATCCCTTTCAAGGTACTGACGTAGAAAATCTCCCACCAAAGGTGCACGTCTCTGGTGAGTTTCGACACAATAGCTTTAGAACAAAAACACTCGAAAAGCTCAGGCTGTGATGAAAGGGCAAAGACAAACGTAAGAGAGACACGAACGAGGCCATTGTCTCTGCCCCCAGAAATGAAAGTGAAATGTAAGCTCAAGGACGTAACAACTCTTCGAAGCCCCACCCCCCCTGCACGGTTGTGGACTAAAAAAAAGTTCTAAGATGTAGCACAGACTTCGGCAACCAATGTCAATTCGCATGTTCTGGTATTGGGCATCTGCGACTGCACTTCTGGTCCTGCTGCTCGTAAAAAGCAAACCCCGCTCAATTGGATGGAACACGTGCAAGAGCTACGTCGGTGTGGTGCCTAAGACGCGTCTCTGAAGGATGCGTTTAACGGGTCCTCATTTGTGGCCCCCTATTTACGCACAATGATGGCGCAGCAACTGATGTGGCAGACGCTTGTTCTCTCGAAGGTCATTCCTCGCTTTTACAATCCACCAAAATCAAAGCGGGCACAAGTCGGGATGACGCGACGACAGCAACACTTGCATTTTTCGCTCGTCACCACTGATGTTTCAGGGGCCTCTTCTGGATCGATGCAAGCGATCGGGTACCCGATTTACTGGGGGGGAGGGAGCAGTTTTGGATAAATGCAATGACAAAAAAGGAAATGAACAAAACTAAAACACGAAAACCAACTTTGAAGGTTTGAAACTGAAAAGAGTCATCTTTACTCGCTCGGCACATATGGTTTAGTCTACTATTTACTTTGGCGAAACAGCCAACATCGATAAAATAAATGCATAGCAAATTGCTGGGCAAATGCGTCGCACATGAAACGTGTGGCATCTTTACTTTGGCGATACTTCGGTGTTTCCCGTTTAACACAAGTGACCAGCAATTTGTTACGTTCGGCCCGGTTCCTCTGGGACTGATGTCTACGCTTTCGGCGTTCTTCATTGATTAGTTTAGCGGATGGCTTAACACGTGGCACATACACGCTATAGAAATTCCTGGAATGAAGGTACCGGCGCTAACCCAGGTACCTCTAGAGCTCCCCCAGAACCCTCAAAGGCTGCAGAGGTTTCTCCGATGACATCCAGCCGTCTGGCAAACGAGCGGTGGCGCACGAAAAGTCAGTCAAATTTGGGGGTTTTACGTGCCAAACCTACGAAGGGCATCTGGCACGCCCCAGCGGAGGACTGGGGATTAATTTGGACCACCTGGGGATCTTTTGACGTGCAACCGAAAGCTCGGTTACACGGCGCCTTCTCCGCAATAAGCCTCCGTCATATTGCGGGCACCTCGCGGTGGCGCACGAATGACTGCGCAATCACCAGTCAATCAGAGTCGAGCGAGCGTGGCCTCGCACGTGACGTCGTATCTGAACCAGCCAATCAGCGTTGAGCTAGGGGGTGGGATGTCGTAGCCCGACTCGGCGAATCAACAGTGAGCTAATCGGTGGCTTCACTTTCCGGTTTCACAAATTTCTAAACTCCCACAAGACAAAGCCCATTTTTTGTAAAAGAAAAGCGTTATCTTTCAGTTCGACAGACAGTCGAGGGTTTCGGAAGCCGTAAGAGGGCTCAAAAAAACCAAAGTGTCCGCAGACCCGCGTTGGAGAACCGCCGATCTAGGGACCACGTGGGCATCTCCGAGCGACCGAGGCTCACCAGAAGAAGGAGAGGTCGGAGGTCTCGACGAGCAGCCGGTCCAGGAAGTCCACCATTTTGGTGTGGAACACGAGCCCGTTCATGAGGGCCGCCAGGTGGGGCCGCTCCCGCAGGCCCCAGGGGTGGCGCTGGGCACTGGCGTGGAGCTGCAGCCGCGACCAGTCGAGCCGCAGGCCCCGCAGGTCTGGCGGGGGCGCCTCGGACCCCGAGGGGGGCGGGGCCAACGAGCGTGCCGTCGAGCACGCTACCGACAGCAGCGCCGCGTCTTCCTCGGGAATGGCCGGGATCCCCTGCATGGCCGCCTCCAGGGCTGGGGCGTCGAAGCCGCTCAGGTACTGGATGTAGTACAGCTGCACCACCTGCACGCCACAAGCAAAACTGTGACTCCGGCCGAGCTCGTGTCCACGGGCAGAGCGCCGGTTGTAGGCATTCGTGAGGCTTAATCGCATGCTCACGACTGCTTACGACTGTGCCCCTTAAAACCTCCTAAGATCTCTCACAACGATAGGAGAGTGCTATCGTACAAACGCACGCTTTTGCCAGAGCGGTGACATCTCAGCCAATTTTCCGCCCAATAGGTGTTTTTCTATGTCTTTCGAAGTGCGCGCACAATGGCGTAACTCAGCTCGAGCGCGTAGCCTTGGCTAATGCTTAGACACCACTTTATTGCACAACGCACACAGTGAGTGCGCCCAAGACGACAAAGGATGCTTTCGTTATGAGATAGACACAGATGTAGGCCATCTAGAGGGGAGAACAGATTGGTGCCATTCATCGGGCAGCTGTGGAACGCTTTCAGTTTCCTTATGTTTCCATGTTCTTCGTGCACCATTCTTTTTTTTTCTTTTGGCTCGAAAAACTTTTGACACAGTTATGAACGACCATTTCTCCTTTCGCCCTAGTGAAAAGCAGTTCCGGGGTCACCACGCATAAATGGCGCCGGCGTGTTCTATCGTCATAAGACTTTGCAAGAAGTCGGTCGTAAGCAAACAAAAATGAGTGAGCGGGCCTTAACTCAACCTAATTCGAAAGGCCTGAAAATGGGATGCACTCAACCCTAGGGGTAAAGGCGGGAGCGGAATGTGGAAAATTGTAAGCGCCGACAATAGCAGTCCCAAGAGCGGGAATGAGAAAAAGAGTGACGGAAGAGCGGAGAAAGAAAGCAGGCGACAGGCTAGGCATGCTCGTTTTGACGCGACAAATTGAAGTCGCTCGACTGCTTGTCGGCTATATTCATTTTCATGTAATGCGCGACGCCGGCAACGTAGCACTGGTATGCACAGGACGGAACAGTCTTTGGTCACCTGGCTGTACTTCCGCATGAGACCCCTGAGCTCCTCCATGTGGAACAGGAGTTCCGGCAGCTGACGGTCCAAGAGGTCCTCCCCCTGGAGGCTGCGGGAGCGGCCCGGGGCTCGAGAGGGCGGGCCCAGCTCGTTGTGGCGCACAAGCCAGCAGACCTCGTCACGAGACAGGGACAGCCCCATCAGGACGTACAGGGCCTGCAAGCACAAGGAACGGGAGGTCACCCTCCACCGCCAAGTCCCGTACCAATGTCCTACCCCGAGATATCGCCCACCTCTTTTTCTGGCCAAATGACCGTAGAGCTACGAATCACGAGACGTCGCCCACCCTCGTTTACAAATGGACGTCGCGCGACGTCGGACGGGAATCGCTTCGACTGTGCCATCTGCGGCATCAAAACTAATGCAAATGGACGAGATGTGGCTAGGTGAAAGGGCAAGAGTAGTGCACAGAAGCTTTTTATACCGATGCCTTTACTTGGCACATTGAGGATTTCGTAAGATGAGTTCTTCTGGGAGCGTTGCACAGGTTTGAGAAGTGGTAAAATAAACTAATGGAAGTCAACTGATTTCGGGTTTCAGGGGTTACAAAGGATCTCCCAATTAGTGTCCTGCGATTATCCTATGGGTCAGCAACATTACTCTAGGCAGGCACCTAGACAGTCCTCCTCGTGACACGTTTCAGTAACCCATGTTAAAGGGGCGATGCAACCTTCATTTTTTCAACTTTCAATAATTATTCCTAGATATTTAGGAGCTACAAAACACACATTGCTTTTTTTCTCTATGTGATAGGAGTCGCAGAAAAAATTAGAGAAAAAATGAAAGCCGTTTACAACTCCCTGTAACGCTGAATTAGAGCGCAGCTCTTCAGGAGGAGGAGGGAAGGGTACTGAGGGTCTCCTGTTTCCGAAGGACCCCTGAAAAATTTTCCCGCTAGATTTAGCGAGGAATTTTTTCCGCTAAATTTAGCAGGGAAATTTTTATGCTAGATTTAGCGGGGAATTTTTTCCGCTAAATTTAGCAGGAAAATTTTCCCGCTAGATTTAGCGGGAAATTTTTTCCGCTAAAGCGGGGAAATTTTTTAGCTAGATTTAGCAGGGAAGTTTTTCTGCTAAATTTAGCGGAGAAATTTTTCCGCTAGATTTAGCGGGGAAATTTACCCATAATGCACCGCGCAGTTACGCCGACGGCGACGTCGCTCAGGCCGGAAACGGGCGCCTAAGAGCTGCGCTCTAAAACGAACACCGTTTACTTTTTCAACTCGCAGCAAGAAAAAGCGGCCATGTGATTTGGAGCCGATTATATGCCGCCAATGTTTTTAGCACAGCCATGCAGGGTCGGCAGAGCAGAGGGCACACGTTGAGCTCTACGCATTGTTAAGGTACGGCTATTTCCGCCATCCCAGCGATTGGGCATTAGCCACTGGCCGAATGCATGTGGAGGCACTTATTGTCACGAGTCACAATCGAATGCCTACGCAGACTTTGTGTACGAGCGGCAGTTAAACATCGTCGCAGCGGGGATTAAAAAGCTCGATGGCGCACTCCTGGGCATCGTACTGTTGGCATTGTCAAGGAGCTCCGTCATCAAATTTTGTTAAGGAGAGACTGAAAGAAGAGGTTCACTTTAATCCCCGGAATTCCACCGCGACGAAGACACTTCTTGGTAAGTGGCGTTGCGTTCGAGTATTCTTGGGTCCTACTAGTGCCAGTAAGCTGGTGCAAAGTAAAAAAAGTTCCTACCAAACATTGTTGTACAGCCCCATTTCAGTAACCTATACTTCTCTTTCTTTCCAATTGTAGCACAAATACAGTGTAGTAGTGTAGGACCTAAAACAGAACTAACGCAGCATACAAGACTGAGAGATGAACTGCACCCACTAATATTTTACCGTGCTCTTTTGGAAATGAAACGCACGGAGATGAGCGGTATCTGAATAAACCCGTCCAATATGCAGCTTCTGGACTTGCCTTGGCTTCGGATAAAGGCGACAAATAAAAATCCACCGCTTGCCTTGGGTCCGAGCAATCCTGGCTGTTCGGCCAACACGAGCGCCAGTTCCTTGAGCGCCGATCGAAGGAACTTGCGCCGCTCGCGGTGCACCAGCGGCGCCGTCCCCAGCGCCTGCGCCAGGGCTTCCTTCACCTCCGAGGCCCGCTTGCCGTGGCCTTTGAGTCCCTCGAAGAACTGCTGCGCGTACGAGTGGATCGGGAGCAGTTCGTCTCGGAACAGAGTGAGTGCCCAGCCGTTGGACAGCGCCTGGAGGAACAGCGCTTGGGCGGGGGGCTGCTGGAGGTACGGGTGGATCAGCAGGAAGCCCACTGCGCAGGAAGAGATGCGACAACGTCGCGGTGGCCGCCATCTTGAGACGCCCAACCCGACTAGGGAAAGAGCCAACTCACGAATGATCCAGCGCTCCATGGTTTCCAAGGAGAGGTATTCGCACGGCATCTGTTGAGGCAAGACAAAGCGTAAGAACGCGATGTTTGTTACGACAAATTAAGATTACTATGTTTACTTGGTTGTTTATAAGTTACGAATAATTACAAAGTTAGGTTGTGTGTGCTGCACAAAAAGTTAATTATCCTGCCTCAGTGTTATTTGTCCCCACAATAATGGAATATTAAAAATAAAAAAAAACTATATCCAGAATGACAGAGCTGAAAACATTGTGCACTGGAGGAGGAAATATGAACATATTCCCGAGTCGCTGTCGGCAGAGAGGTGCACGAGCGTCTGAACCCCAGAAAGATTGCTCCCAAAATGCACTCTCACACAAGGTGCCGACTAGAGCAGCACATGTGCCCATGTTATCACTATACTTCGTTTCAGCTTCGGTCCGAGCGCGGCCGATATTATGAGCCGAAGGGCCGATCAAACAGCGAAAGAGTCACAACGTCATGGCGTGCTCTCTGCAGTTGATAGGACCAGCCGGTATTCATCGACTCTCTGTGCGCGCTCCTCCGCCGGCTAGTCCTATTAAGTGGAGAGCGCACGCCATGACGCTGCGCTTTTTGCGCTCTTTGATTGGCCCTCCGGTTTATAACATCGGCCGCGCTCGCACCGAAGCTGAAACGAAGTATAGTCCCCAACTACTGAGAAAGCATCATTGTGGCTATGATCTTCCTGACAATTTGTCAGACCCTCAATCGAGCGAACCTCACTCCAACAGAGAGATCAGATTCACAAGCTTATAAAGTTTTCCCCGGAACCGTAAGCCAGTAGCATACTGAAGTTTCCTCAGAGTTAAGTTTCTGATGAGTGAATGCTTTCCTTAGATCTCCAAGAGTTCACTTAAGTAAGGTTTTACCTAGAAGGCAATAGCAAAAGACAAAAAAGGATAGTTTACGGATACTTGACTATAAAACAGGCTTTGCTACTCCTCCCAAAATTTTTGGCAAGTCTTGGCAGCACTTTGATAAACGTCCAACTTCGGCAAAAGTGAAGCGCTGTCTTCGGCAAACCTTCGGCCTGTCGATACAATTCATGCCAACGATGGCGTGTATCTCAAGAAAGACCACGGCCGCAGACTTGAGCTGACGGTCGGAGATGTTGCGAAATGACTCGCCGTTTCTGTCTGGGCTGGGGTGAGCATTTGGGCGGGCGAGACGAGCAGGCTGAGCATCTGACTCTTGCGCCACTCGTCCGCCGTCAGGTTACGCCGGGGAAACACTTGCTGAAGGGACAGCAGAGCTTGGAACAGCGTCTGGGAATGACATGCGCACGAAAAAGAAAGCCGAAACAATCGTTTATCGGTGCACTCTTAACGGTAGACATTTAGCGCAAGGAGGGGAGAAGAGATATGGTAAGTACTTGCATGCACAACAGGGACATCTTTCCTGAAATTAATTTCATTAATGATTTCAGGGACTGGTGCGGGAAAAACAGTTAGTGCCACAAGTCTTCAAAGCCTCCCGTGACTTTGCTTCCTATGACCTTGGCGTGTGTTACATGATAATAATAAGGTCTCCAGACATCTGAATATAAACAAGCCTCGATCTGGTATACCATTAAACTCCTACATAATAAATTTCGACTTAAGAAAGTTTTTTTTTTCTTACAGACTACAATTATACACTTATCAAAGACCTTTCCCGATTTAGAAAAATAGTTAGCGATTTTGACATGAACTAAAGTCAAACCTACTGAACCATGGTTCGGTGCTCGTCCATGTACAGCATGATCAACGAAACAAAATAGACCGGTGGAGCGCGAGGCCTCTCCAGAATAACTCCATATTCTCTGCTTGAGGCGCATATAGAATTGCCCTAGTGTTCACAGCTAGCATGCACAGTGACTCCAGCCAAGGGTAACCATATGGTTCTGCCATTTAGTGACTCCAGGCATCGCTATGGTATATCCACGAGGCCACACACTTCACTGGTCCGTTTCATTTCCTCAAGCACTGTATAGTGACCCCTTAATCGTATATTACTGTAAATTACTTAATTTTTGTGAATTTCACGACCCGGAAAATTTTCTAAAAAATCGGTCTTGCGAATATGTCACTTATTGGGTCGCATGGCCCGCAGCCTTCACATTTTGCCAAGTTATCGTGAATCGAAGTATAGTGGTGCTTAGCCAACTGGTGAACAATTGTAGCGACCTCGTTAACTAAACTAGGCTGTAGAACATGCACGGGAGATGAGCGAGAGCGGCGGACTTCTCGGCACGACTAGGAGGCGAAGAGACGTACCTTGGAATGTGGGACGAACTCGTCGGCGAGCTTTTTGAGCGGGGGGTCGTACTCGACGATGAGCTGGCCCAGTCGGGGAAAGCTGTTGTCGCTGTGGCCATGCGTCATCTCATGGGCCGTGTTGAAGAGCCCCAGCACCGCCTTGCGGTCCTCCACGCGCGACAGCAGGATCATCAGCGTCACGTACGCCACCACCAGGTCCAGGTAGGCCTTGGTCATGTCGAAGTTCAGGGTCTGCAACGCCGGGGAAAAGAGTGACGAGATGTGGCGTTCATGAGCTGGCAATGTCACCAGTTGACTTCCTGCGACAACCTTGGCACAAAGCACCGGGTTCGATGGAGAAGACAAAACGCGGTTTTTCGGCCCACATAAGCAAACTATGCGTCGCAGGAAGTCAAAACTCCATGAGAATATGGCGCTAGCGGTGGCGATAAAATGAGAAAGTTTGAGCATATTATGTTACCTGGATCAAAAGTCGTGTTTTTCGCCCACAAAACAAAACTTCTCTATGAGCTGAACCCTTGAAGACTAATAGTCATCATACCGAAATGTGAGATTCTGGGTGCCTGTAGAATTTATTTCGGCGAAAAAGGAAACTTACCAGCAAGAAAGAAAACAATGGCATCTTTTTTACTGACAAGTGCTTTCACTGAAATAAATGCACCCACAATCTCAAATTTTTGTTTGATGAATATTAGGCTTTGCTGTGTGCATGGACATTGGCTGATAAAGAAATTGTGTTTCTTTTTGGTATCTTTTGGCCCAGGCAACCTCACATGCTCAAACCTTCGCATTCGATCACTCAATACATAAATTATTTATGCGAGCCCCCCCCCTCCCCACTTTAAAAAAAAAAGAAAAAAAAGACAGGTTTTGTTTTCTGTATTTAGCCCATTACTTTGGCAAAGAGAATGATCAAATGATGAAAGCCCGAGGCCGATCCAGAGCCGACTTCAAGAGCAGCCGAGCAGTATTGACGAGAACGACAACCTTTATTCTGGGTGAATATGCGTGGCAACAGCGTGCAAAAGACTGGGACGAGGCAGAAGACATAGACACGACTAACCATCAGCTACGTCCAGGCTGAGACATAGGTATTATATTTATCAATCAGTATTCTGGCCACTGTGGATCCATGCCAATCCAATCCTCTGCCTTAAAAATCTCATTGCCAGGACGACATGCTCTGGATTTCGATAGTCTGTCGTCAGTCGCTGCACGGGATGCAGCGACACTCGTCTGCACGTCAAGTCTTGATTAAGTGTAGCCAAAACGAAACACATACGTGAAAAGCTAACATCACCCAAAGACAAAAAAAGGGAAGGTCAGACGCAGAGTTCAAACTCACAATGTCGAGGTACAGCTGGAACGAGTCTATCGTGGTGAGCAGCTCGCTGACGTGGTCCTAGAGAAACAAAAAGGTGCAGAAAAATTACAAATCCGCAAGTCATCCGTGCAAGTTGCAGCAGCTTACCCGGAAATCCAGCAGGTCCACAAATGTGTAGTAGTAAAGTGACAGGGACTTCATGATGTCCTGTCGGATCGTGAACACCGCCGAAAGCTGAGCCTGTCATCAGGAATAAGCATGCAAACATTAGAAACTTTCAATCTGGCTTCAACGATTAATTTTTTGCAGGTGCTACCTTTCCAGGCGTGCTGACAAAGTTACATAATCAAAAGAGGCTATAAAAGGTCAGAAGCAACAAGTAGAGCGTCGGTTCGTGTTATATCCCAGTAACACCACGAACTAGAGATACCGCAAAGACACGGTGAAATTGTCAGACGAAGAAAAGGATACTTTAAGCATCCTTCTAAGAAACAAACAGGCAAGAAGCGTCTCAGCGGCATGTTCAATCGTGCTGAAGACTTGAATTGCCTTAGCTCATCGCTGTCCAAAAGCTTTGCAGAACAATAGTTTGCTTTTACACCACTGTTTTTCCTATGTTTTCTTGTTCTAGGGTACTGCAGACTACTTTTTTCCCAAAACGAAATACTACATAAAAATTTCCCCCAAAAAGTGTTAAACAATAAAACTCCAACGCAAAAAAGAAAAAAAAAAGTCATTTAAATATAGAGTTTGAAATTGTTTTCAGTGTTTTTCTAAAATAAATACAACAAACTCCTAGATATAAAAAAAAAAAAAAAGGAATTTGACAGCTGTGCAAGTGAGTCGTGCAAACTGGCATTGAGCCCGAGACGTAAATTCAGGGTGGTGAGTCAAGCATCTAAGTTTTCAAAGACACAAAGAGTTTATTTTTTAATCACTTTGTTGACTAGGTTCGTAAGCTTTGAGCGTCAACAAACCAGTTCGTCCGGAAGCCGGCATATCTACATTTTGACAATTGTCTCGGCCGACTTAAAAGCTGCTGCAGGAAGCTCGAAAAAGTTTCCATTGTCGGCGGCACGGCAGGAAGTGGAGTTCCACGGTTACTCACGCTGTTTCCTCTGATGTCGATGTTCGGGAATCGGCGCACGACGTGTTTGATGGCCGACTCGAGGTTCTTGTCCGACAGAAACGACGGCTTGGACTTGGCGTCGCCGCATGCCTTTGCGGAGAGAAGACACACTCATGGTCAAAAGATGCCTAACGTCACTGGGACTTTCCATAGCCCCTGCACACTTCCGGTTCACGTATATTTTTTTCATTTTTTACTCATCATTCTTTTATCGTAAGAGTGAATTAAGTCTGACAGTGCTACAAGTGGCCATTTCCAAAAGATAGCATGTATATTTGAGTTCGCAAGTGCTGCCAAACTCACCATCTAGTTCAGAGCCGGAAGTGGTTGGGGGCTATTTGCACACTGGCGCCACCATATTTCAACTCGTGCGAGAAAAAGCGAATAGGGGGTATTCACTGAGCACCATATTTGGGGGCGCTGTTTAGAGCGCATGTTCGAAACGAGCCCACATTAATAGGCTGCTAAGACCGGCAATCTTGATGGTGTGCAATGCACGTTGCAAAAGCACCACGGAAACTCGCCATCAGCACATGCTCAGCGGTTGCGAACACAGGTATACTTTCTACAGTGAATACTTTCTACTCAGTGACTGGGTAAGAACGGAGGGGAGGTCCTTTAGTAGTCTCACCTTCAGCATTAGCTTCAAATCATTTTTTATTCATCTTCAGTAAACAAAAATTACAGAAGGATCCATTGGCGGATTTTTAGGGAATGCGTTAGCATGACCCTTGGAAACGCCACACAAGTCCCCCTTTGGGAAAAGCTAACGCTGACCCCTTCACATTTCTTGTCTTTATTTCCCAGAGGGGGACGTCTGTGGCATTTACCAAGGGTCATGCTAACGGATTCCCTACAAATTTATCGATGGAACTTCCTGTTATTTGTTTCGCTCCTTTTTTTGTACTCTGCCTGCCAAAGTATGAGATGCCTTTGGATACGGTCATCCATATTGCTCGTGGAAAGAATCACATCCATACCACTCGTGGAAAAAACCGCATATGCGTCACTCGTGGAAGGAACCGCATCCATCGTTTTAACTACACACACACATCACAGCCCACGCACCGCTACTACGGAAACCCAGAGCGAAGAACAACTGGCGACGGCAGAGCAGCAACTGAGCATGCCTGCATTCCCCCGCACTGCGGCGCAACACCTTCATGATAACAAAGCCATAGTGATGAATGAGATGGCGTCATTAGAGAAGGCTAACGCTGGGCACAGAATGGACACGACGATTCTGTCAAGGTTAGGCTCAAACTTGACTTGAAGCCAAGCTTTGACACAGCACTCATTTCCAATCCGTGTTCAGCGTTGGCCTCCTCTGATGACGCCATCTCATTCAGCGCTACGGCTTTGTTATCTAGGAGGTGCTGCACGGCATCTCCACCTCTCTGGTTCCACGGCAGCTGTGAGTGTGACTTTGACGAAAATAAAAGGGCTCGTTTTGACGAAAAGTTGACGGTATCTGTCAGTTTGTCAGTGCCGGGGAGAGAGGGAGAGGATGATGCGTGCTAACGTCAGTGCTTCGACCAATGGGAGCGTCGCACGCATCACTATCACTCTCCTCCTCCCTCTCTCCCCGGCGCTGACAAATGAAAGACACCGCCAAGTTTTCGTCAAAACGTGCGTTCTAATGCTAATGCATTAATAACAGCACTGTATATTGCATCTGGATCCTTCGCCATTGTGGCCGGTTCAGGATCCGTACACGAGTACATAAATAAGGGATGCGGGACCGAATATTGCAGTTATTTACATACTGTTTCAATGTTAACTGCATAACTTGGATAACGCTTCAACGCCTCTCGCACGTGCAAGCGCAGTCGATGAACGGCGGAAGGCATTGGGCGGGCGCGTGCTACATGTCGATAGAGACGTCCTGATCTTTTTCGTTTTGTGGGTACCTATGTGCCGCTAACGATCATAATGCGCCCGTACCTTTCGCATTACCCCAAATAAGGTTACTGATTTATAACAGAACAAAACAAAAACGGTTTCAGGCATAAAGGGACTTTAAAACAGTGCAAAACACGGAGAGGAATCAGTCATGTTCCGCTGTCATATCCTAACAAACCACCCCTTTTTGTTTGCTAGCAGAGTAGTTGCAAGCTAGGAAACTGTTAATTAGTCAGTGATTGAAAAAAGAAAAAGAAGTTTAATATGTGTCTTTTATTTTTTTTTAACAATTCCACAGTCGGTGGAGTCACGCAACTGAGGTATCGACACGCCCAAATACATCATACACAAAGGACGATGTTTCGATGCCGCCTAGCCAAAGGACACCCATTTTTCGTCCTCAAACGAACGTGAAGTTGTGCGAAGAGTACCTTTTTGATGTTGTAAATCCTGGTGAGCATCCCAACGCCTCGGTCATTGAGGATGGTCAGCTTTTCGGCGATCCTCTGCTGACTCACTTGGAGGGACCTCGCCATTGGGGTTCTGCGGCTCCGGCAGTGGAATGGACGAGGTTCTACCTTTGGGTGCGAGCACGCAGATAATTTACCCGGTAAACATTATGGGGAAAGTCGAAGCTTTCCCGACTTCTTTACGCCGCACCACAAACACGAGACAACAACGGGATGCTCTCATGAGAATCCATTTTGCAGCGCCGATGACTGATGACCCGTACAAGCTACCCTGCCATGCTCATTTATAAACAGGCCCGTGTTTTGTTGTAGTTTAGAAACTTCCCGATATCAAAGCGTAGCGCGGCAGAACGTCCAATTCAGACAATTGATTTGTACACCCATTTGGAGTTAGTCATGCAGGTGCCAAAACCACTGACAAAACAATGAATTCTTTAATTAAAATGAAATAATTTAATAACTAACAAAACCTAACCCTAAAATAAAATAAAAAAAATTTAATTGATCAAAATGCAGTACCCATAAACTTATGGTTTGTGCTTCAAAAACGAATCTTAAATTAATTTAATCTTATTACTATAAATACTCCTAAAAGCACTTAATTGTTTAAATAAATTAAAATACAGTCATACTCGCGCTAGTGGCGCAAGTTACCTTCTGATTACACTGAAGTCATCTTGATGTTATCTACCTACGCGTGATAACTTCAGTTTCGGTTTCCGCTTCCGTCCTTCAACCTGTACGTTGGTATGCGTGTCGCGTGTGTGTCCCCGCCGCGGCCCGCTCAATTCTGGCATGAATGAGTGTGGACAAGAAACATCGTCCTGACGCCTCGCACTGCGTCACTATGGAAGAGGCGCAGGCGGCGCAGGTGCCGCAAAGTGGGCCCTATCTCAGACTACTATCCGCCCTGTTCTACGGGCTCATGTCATTCCTGATCATAGTCGTCAACAAAATCGTGCTCACCACTTACAAGTAAGTGTCGCAATAGTTGACCCATTGCTCAGCTTGGAAACAAGTGCTAAACTATTTTCGGAGCTGTGAGAAGAGTTCCTGGACCTACGAGGTTTCTTGCAAAACAGTGATGTCTTTCGCTGACCCAGGTTCATAATGACTGATCTGTCGGGACACTTCAAGACTTGTCATCTCCAGTTTGACTCTACAAAGGCTCTGATGGTGTTTTGCTGTGCTCGTATATTTTATGTATGGATATATAGGAACCAGTTTTCATGTGGGCAAAGTTCCAACCACTTTTGGTTTTAATTTTCCTTTTCAGTTGGGTGCGAGCCAGGCGTACCTGTTCGTGCATATATGTTTACTAAACACACGGGCACACATGCTACTGCTTCAAGAATTTGAACAAAATCGTTCCATGCGATCCACATGTGTGCTGCACCGAAAATACACTTCTCTAGCTGGTCTGCTTAGTTTTGGGGACTGTGCAACACTAACTCACATGCTTAATAGTAAAACAAATAAATTGCATCTCTAATATTCATTTTCTGTTTTTTTTCTTGTTTTCAGCTTTCCTTCACCACAGGTTTTGGGAGTTGGCCAGGTAAGCAAATTTCCGGGCATGTTAGAGTAAATTCTCAACTGCTAAAATCGCAGTATGTTTAAACACAAAGTACAACCTGCGAGTCAGGGGAGGCAAATGTAGCAGGCGGAGAAGAAACACATGTAAAGGCTTGTGACCTCAGTCGTCAAAATTCTCGCGCATAGCATACAGTGCCGATATCCGTTGCTTTACAGCTGGTACTGAACAGGATATATGAGATCGTAGTTTCAGCTGCGAGTCTGAGATCAAAAGGCAACAAGCTAATGAAAACATTGTCTTAATCAACTCCGAGAGAGACATTTGAGGAAAACGCAGAGGGACACACCAGGATAAGATTTCTTGAAGGCATGCATTTACAGGTTGACTTCGATTTAGACTGGTCATGTTGGTTTCATCTCTGTAGAGAAGCACGCTGGCAACTGTGGCATGACTGCTAACCTGGGCTCTTCAACACAAATCATGCTGTAGTGATTACAAAAAAAATAGATTAAAAAGATGGCAGCATAGAGGGACAACATGTCTATGTTGTCGTCTTTCAGATTTCTAGCTTCTACCAATTTGCACTCATAAAAACCCTCATTGCATAAAAGCTCACCGGTGCAACATCCGTCCCAATCGTAAATTGCAGAGGTGTTATTAAAAGACCAGTGCACACTTTACATTTTTTTCCAGTTCATCCTCACCCAAATCCTCTCACTTCTTCGCCACACTTCTCTTCTAAGTTGACGTTATCCCATTTGAGCAGAGTGCATTAAGTTATTTCAAAGTCAAATTCAGTTAATTTGCTCCTGTTTTGGGGTGGGAGTCATAAAACTCTCCCCTCAAATGGGGGTGCAAAACAAAAGACCCCTTTAGTCCCTTCTTTAGCATCTTTGACGCTGGACTCCCTCAGGGTTTGGGGAAGAAGGGAACTACGAGGGGCACTCGTAAAGTTTGTATTATTGGAACCAAAAATTAAAAAAAAAAAAAAGTGAACAAAACGAGCATCAACACAAGTGCACGTCTTTCAGCACAGCATATACATTGCGTGCTATATTACCGCAGAATTCCACTAGGGCGTCGAAACAAAAATGGCACCACACATCGGGAAAGTTGAAGCGTGTGCAGTGATCCATTCTCTATTTGAAGGGAAGCAATGCCAAGGATATGCATTCCAAACTGGTGGCGGTGTTTGAGGACAACCCAGTTTATGACATTGTGGTTAAATGGTGCAGACGCTTCCAGTGTGCGCAAACAAGCGTCATTGAAAGCATTTCAGTGAGGACGACCAAGTGATTGCTGAAATGGAGCGATTCCTTGGCACTCAAAACGAGGAGTTCTATAACAGTGGCCTCTGGCAGGTTGTTCGTCTCTGGCAAAAGTGTGTGACTTTGGGCAGTGGGTATGTATAGAAAAACTGTAATCCTACCCGAGTTTCACTGCTGAATCTTTATTCCTTCGTGACAATAATACAAACTATGGTATGGGTTTATTTATAACATTGTTTGAGCAATTAAGGCACTAGTGTTTTAGGGTTTTGCCATGCAGTCAGTGAACATTACTACAGTGCCACACTGACCGCTTTGCTGGTCTGTATTTCACTTAAGTTGTGGGTGCACTTTTATTTTGCAGATGGTCGCTACTATAGTTACCCTATGGACCATGAAGAACCTACGAGTCATTGATTTACCCAATTTTTCTATGGCCGTTTCTGCAAAGGTGAGGCACGAGACGAAAACGTCTGTGAATTCACTGCAACATTTGGTACATAGCAAAATGTTTTCAAAAGGCCACTGCATAATTTCGAGCGGCATTTCCTTGTATAGTTATTAAGTTCTCTTTTAATTTTTTTAATTTTTTTCGTTTAGTCAAAGTATGGCATACCAAAAATATGAAGAAATAAAATTTTAGGGCATTGGTAGAACTTGTTAGTTTTATATTTTGATGGTCACCAAACTGCACTGCAGGTTTAGTGCATAGACTGGTAAAATTTAAAAATATGGTTAAATGAATAAATTAAGTGCTATAGCTAAGTCCATTTGGCATCCAATAAAATCGTAAAAAATGCCTCAAACGAAGAAAGAAAAAGCTAACTGACAGGGCCTGTTTGGAAACCTGCACAGGCATTGTCTTTCCCTTGCTTGGCTGCCTTTTATATGGATGCCATTTCCAGCTGCTGCACTCATCCCTGACGTCATGGCAGCTGCAGCACACAAGTACACCCAAACGATTGGGCTTTGAAAGGCACCTGTTCGTGGAGAAAGCCAGAATTTTTAAATTTATGGTTGGATGCAGCAAGAAAAAAAAAATTAAGGAAGGCAAAAAAGCAGTGGTGTTTTCTTGGTTGTGTGTTCTTTTCCTTGCTAAGCCAATTAGCAAATTAGACGTTTCTTTTATATTATGATTCTTGTTTGAACCATTGTAAGAAAACACAGCGATATACACAATCAAAAATGGGAAACACCTTTAATTGAGGAATAACGCAACATGCCGCTGCAAAAATGTGCGAACAAAAGATAAGTCTTCCCTAATGGTTGAATGTATCTTTTACACTGTTGAGAAATGAAGTCTAACAGTTGCAGCTTGTCATTGCATTGGGTAGGTCGTTGTAATTCTTGAAGGTGACTAAATATTAGAGCATGTGGAGCATGATAAGAACTTGTTTTTCTAAATATTAACCATGCCTCAAACTATCTGGAAAAGAAGGCAGCTGGGCATTTTTAAGCGAATTGCAAACTAAAGCAGATTTGTTATATTTAAGGTCTCGCCAACTTTTGTCAAACACGAGGTTCGATTGGTTCGGCAAACCTTTAAACATGTTGCAAAGTTCAATGAAGGTTGGCTTCTAGACAGTGTTGCCAGGCTTCTAACTGAAGATTTCGAATTTTGGGAAGCAAATAATTTAGCGAGTAGTTTATTTTATATTTTATAAATTGATTCCCAATGTTTACGGAATATAAAAGCAAAAATAGGTACTTTTAATGCATTTGTTAGTTTCACTTTTCCTCCGCCAGGTGGTCTCAACTTGTTTTCAACTTTTCGCACATGTGCAAAGAAGATTAACTTCATTTGAACTTTTGTCAAACATGTTTTTAGAAGTTCGACAATGTCGAACTCGCCTGAATAGAAGTTTGCATTTAAACATGGAGAAACTTTATTCCTTAGCTTTTTAAGCCACCGAGGAATAACAGTTTATCATTTTCTTGCCAGAGCCAACGACATAAAAGGAAAGAACTGAAATTTAGATGCCGATCCCATGCATTCCGCCGGGTGAATGAACGAAAATGGCGGCCCTCCATGCTCAGCTGGGAGCAGCCGGGAGTTCATGTGCTCACGCCTCTCGCTCTGCGCCGCGGGCTGATTGGCTCACTCGGGAGGGGGGCGTTCCGGCGGCTAAATCATAGACTGGCCAAACTCTCCCTATATACGGCTCTGGAAAACATCATTCCACGGCGCCCCCTGCTTTCTGCTCCAACACGCAGAAAGAGGGGCTTGTCACGACCTTTGATTCGATTTTTAATAGGAAAATCGGCTGCACATGAATGTAATTTTGGGTTTTTTCGGATGCTTAGAACCCGTGTGATCACTATAAATAGACAGCCTCGGAATCCACTTAATTGCCCCACTTAGGACCCGTAGCTTTCTAGTAGTCTTATCTCTAAAAGCACGAGCATATGTTTGAAGTTAGAAAAAGCGGGACAAAGTCCTCCGACAAAGCCCTCCACTCTGTCCACTGTAGCAGAGTGAATGCCAGGGAGGAAAAGACTGGTTTGTTTTGCTCTTCTATATCTGCAACAGACTATGGTATGCTTTTAGGCTAGAAATCTTATCTGCATCTCACTGTTTGGCCTCAGAATTGCCACTAAAAAGGTTTTCGAGTGCATTTCTAGGGCACCTTTCTCATCTACATGTTTGATCTTACAAAGGTGCAGTAAAGAGGTTTTCACTTTGATATTCTTAGATCGCAAACTTGGCCTACAAAGTGCTAAAAAAAAGTAGAAAAAATGAAGTGTTCTTTTATGTATGTCTTACATTCATATAAAAAGAATGACTCAAAGCCAAGGGTGGCGAGGGAGCAACGAGAAAGGATGAGAAGGAAAGAGTCTGGTTATAATGAACAGACTAATTGTGTACCAACATAAAGGCTCAGCTGTTCTTTGGCACATCCAAAATAAAGAATCGGCCTAATCAATCTCGTCCTTGGCAGCCAGCAGGGGCGTTTTGGTTTTGGGGGGCGCTGGACTTTGTCAAGCTGCGAGTACGCAGCTTTTTTCCAGCCCCCTAGTCCCAAATGTAATTGTTTGTGACTTAATAAACTGATTGATTGATTGATTGAATAGTGATTAGTAGGTAGGTGTAGCCTTCCTTTCCTCCTCTCCTCATTCCTGACAGTATTGTCTCTTTGATCCTGCTTTTTATTTGGAAGTGGAGAGTGGGCAAATTGTTTTTTACTTTTTATAAGTTTGGAAGCATCCGGATTAAGTTGCTGCCTTCAAAGGACAAAGTAACATGCTTCGTTAGTGCCCTTTTGACGAGAAAAAGAAAAGTGAGTTCCTCTTTTTATGCAGGTGTTTCCACTGCCATTGTTTTTTGGCGCTAATCTGGTCTGTGGCCTTGGCGGCACCCAAAAAATTAGGTACATATTTTTTGTCTCCTGGGGCCCTAAACTCGTCAAACACAAAGTTTGGCCCGAAGTTGACGGAGCGCACCGATTGGCCCATCATGACGATGACTTCGCGTTTTTGTCGCCGACGTCCAATCAGCGCACTCCGCGAACTTTCGGCTCCAACTTTGTGTTTGACGAGTTTAGGGCCCCTAGAATATCGAAAAATAAAAAGAAATGTCACACTTTTTGTGTTTTTAAATGTGAATGAAAGTTAGAATGAAAAAAAAAAAGTAATACAGACGGCTGGTTTAGAGGCCATCTGTTGCAAATGACAGAGTATCACATTTGTGAACTGTGACACCTGTTGGAGAGCGTTTCCTACTTTCTAAGGGAGTGAATATATCACGGTAAATTTGCTGGTTTAATATGTTCCACGGAGCCGATTTCACAGTTGGGGGGTTAAGCCGGCTCATATGGGCCCTGCGGTCAATTTATTTGCCCAATCAGTTCCCTGAAATTGTTTTCTAATTGTTAAATGTGAAAAACGAGTTTCTAGCACAATATTTGATCTAGCAAAGCAGTGGTTCTCAAATGGGGGTCCATGGATTCTTTGGGGTCCTTGAAGCCTTAAGCCAGTGGTTCTCAAGTAGGGGTCTGCAGTCCCTTTGGGGTCCCTGAAGGCCCTCCTGGGTCCCTGAAGTCTTAGACCATCAGTCGAGACTCGAGCCAAGCATTAAAACTTTTTCTCTCGGTGCCGGCCGCCCCACAAAGCTAAACAGACCAACCGATGCATACTGAGTGAGTAGAATGGACCATTCTGTTTCAGGGCTGCAAAGTTGGTTTGCAAGCACTTAGTAGTTTCCTTCATTTAACCTTTCGTCATTGCAATCGTTGAGTACCGCCCCCTGCCCTCCGGCAGATGGGTCTGCCCCGTCACTTCCGCCGATCCAGGAGGGCCCCCTGAAAGATGCGAAATTGAGAATTACTGTAGTAAAGTATGTTGCTGGGCTAGTTTGTGCATTTTTCGGTAGAGGTAAAGTAGCACGAATAAGAACAGGCAAGTAAGTGCCTGTCCTAGTCTTAGCACTATTTTATTTGTGCCAAAATATAGCACACTCGCATTTGAGGTGAGTTGGCCCGAGGCTTACATTAGTGATGTTTGTTCAAGCCCGATGGTTTTGCATGTGCAATATTATTAGAGTGTGCGAGCCAGTAAACTCGACTTACTGCTCTCTACTACGTTTGCAGCCTTCCCATGTTCACGGCGCTACGGCGGTTTTCTATCATGATGACCATGATTGGGGAATACCTTGTGCTAAAGTGAGTGTGTGGCGTCGGTGGCCGAATTCTTTCTTCGTCTCTCGGCCCCACGATGTGGGTCAATCTGTCCGGCTACAAAATCGAAGTCAAATTCGTCACTTCCTCTAGCATTTTTAATTTTATGCAAAGATACTATTTCTTTGGGAGTTTACAAAAAGTTGGAACTTTTATTGAACCCTATACACCTTCTCAACTCTGTTGTGTTGCTCTTCAGCTTTGCGTGCGTGTCCAGTCTGGCATCTAAAAAGTACTCAAAGTAAAGTACAAAGTAAATGAGAGGTTATGTACTTCAAGTAAAGTGGTAACTAGAGCGAGTGGAACATACTCGAAGCAAGCGCAACATTGCATAATAAAACGACTCCCCGCTAGTCACTATTTATTTACGGGTACTATCATTGCTTAGATGGCATACAATAAGAGTGGCGCAATACGAAAGGCACACTAATCACACTAAAAACCTCAAGTACAAATGGAGTCACCCGTCGACACTCGACGCATTCTGGCGGTCACTCTCTACGCAGGAAAATTCCACAGCCAGGCATTGTGATATCGGTAATAGCCATGGTTGGAGGTGCCATGATAGCAGCAAGGTGAGCCGAATCGGCACATGTGTGCGTGTGTGTGTGTACGCCTACGATTGACAGGTTGGCGATGCCCGTTTACGTTGCGCAGTCGGGATTTGAGCTTCAATCTCAGCGGCTACACGCTCGTGTTGCTCAACGATCTCTTCACCGCCGCCAACATCATTTGCGTGCGGAAGAAACAGGACGCCAAGGTAAGCGATGCCAAAGCCATTTTGAGTTTGATGAACGATGCCGTTCGCGACTCCAATTCACTGTAGGTGGCGCCGCTCGTTTTCTAAAATAACAGTTATAGTGAGGGTCGGAGATGCGTACCAGTATACTAGTTGCTGAGCCTGACTAGTGTGCTGGCTTCACTGAGCAAGAAGGAAGCTAGGGTGTTATGAACGCAAGTCACTTCTTGATCCTGAAATTAAAAATGGTGTTCAGCGTAATATTTATGTCAGGAGGCACATTCTAAATCTGGAACGAAACCGAAACTAACCTCTATTTTAACTTTAATTTCTTGGAATAGGTGTTAACTTCGGATTCTTTCATAACTTAAGATGTGTCTCACAGCGTAGTTATTATGCTAAAGCAGTTGTTTGTGGAAACTTTATTTTGTAACATGTGTGATCCGTGCACTCAAGTTCAGTGTCTCTTCATAGACAGGGTCTTTCATACAGCTTAGAGGTAATATAGAATATTGTATTTGATGAAAAAAATCAGTGGTGATATTTGTGTGTCCTTGCTGCTATTTCTCGCTCAGATAATTGTTGCTTGAAATAATGAACTGCGGGCCTCTAAACGGGTTTTTGAGTACTTAGATGATTAATTGCTTTAACATTATTCCCAGCGCAAGAATAACACAATTCGAATTTTACGGAATATCGCCACAGGTGATGAGTTTAGAATATGTTTACAAAACACATAAATTAATAAACACTGTTTTTCCTACAAAAACCCAAAGACGGAATCCGAGTCAGAAAGCAGAAATGTGTGTGTGTTTGTTTTGTTAAAAACGTGCGACACATAGGATGTTATATTACATCCAGTGTTTCAGTGTTTGCCTATCTTGATAACGATGTGAGAATTCTCCATATGCTAAAAACAGCACAAAATGAGACCTTTCTGAAAATACTATTATGGTTAGATGGCATATTTTTGTGATCGTGGCATCTATTCGGTGGCCACAGTTTGTATTAATAATTAGGATATTTTAGTACATAGTTTTTCAAGCTCTAATATAATTTGTTGCTTATTACCTAATTTCAAAAACAGGTATGGCAATCAAAAGTGTGCACATTACCACCACTGGTGCTGATTGCAGCATTTTAATTAACGAGTTATAAAATGAAAATACTCTAAAATCAATGAAAACATTCTAGTAAAGCTGAGAAATTCATGTAAAATTACATTAATTGTGGGTAAAGCATATGATGCTGTCAGATTTGTGACTTTTGACAGTCGGCAAAACTTGCAAAGATGTCACCAATCCTTTCAAACAAAAAACTCCCCACTCACTCAAAAAAAAAAAAAAATTTTTACAAAACTTTTTAGAACGTTTAGTTTCTTTCAATTTTACGCACCTTCGTTTTGCCAATCTCAGCCACTCCAGTTGGAAGAACCGCCTACTTGCTCGCACGTCTGCTCACTGCTGTACATTTCGTTGGTGTTGGAAACTGGTGAAACAGTAATGAGTTTCAGTATTACATCTACGAGCAAACACAAACACTGTGTTTGTGTTAGCATTGCATGTTTTACACTGCACGTGTGCGGAGCCCAAATTCACAGTCTTAGATTGGCACATGGCGACGATGCGCATGTGGAGCACGCAATCCTAAGGCATACGCAGAGCTCTTGCGTTTGCTTCGGTCTACAATACCGAAACTCTCTCGTAAGGTACAATCCCGTAGCGGCTAGAGCACTACATTGAAACAGTGAAGACTGCCGTTTGCATTCGGAAATGAGATTTCCCGAGCCATAATAGCGAGCAGTTCCGCCGTGCCCGCCGAGCGGGAGAACCGGGAGACCATTGCCAGAGCACTTCCCGTTTCCGTTGGGGAGGGCGAGCAACGAGCTGGAGGCACGAATAGTATACGGATCATTCTGACCCATTGGTACGCGGTTAATACTCGGCTCCCACATAATGTCTGCGAACTGTGCTGGCGGCCATTCCTATTTATTCTTGCCGAGAAAAACTCGACGCAAAATCTGTGCTGCATAAAGTGAGCACTCGGCAGCAAGGCCACTCACTGCAATGGCCCCCCGATCATGTGAACATGTCTGCAGACGTTTTTTTTTACGACCAACATGACGGAACTGTCTGCGAGGAAGAAGAACTCTTCAAACAGTGTCTGCAGTCTGTCTTTTGTACGACCGCAGCATCAGCGCTAGCCACACGTCAGCAATGTCCCGAACCAGCCCAGATTCTGGATTCAGCGGGACACCGCATCTAACAGACTTTCTGAGCAAGAATTCAGCGAAGCAGATGTCCACGCGAATGCACGGTTGCAATTGTCACACTGTTTATACGGTGCGATATGCGACTATCGAATAATTTATAATTGTTGAGCTTGGGAAATGACAGCAGTCTGAGAAGTCTGAAGAAAATGTGCGTAACCCGAAGTTTCCGGTAGTGGCGGTGATGCTGAAGCTACACAACGGAGGAACATGTCCATAAAGAATCTGCGGGACCATTTTTATCGGTTTTAGCCTTGCGCCGCCAGTCTACCTTAACTCGCACATACTAGTTGCCGACCAAGGGAGAACGACAGGGAAGATTGTCGGTCGTCTCGCCTCCAGCACCAGCTTCGTACCCGGAGTAACGCTTCGGCGTCCTTCAAGTCTCGAGCGTGCATGCCTTGTACCACGTGAGAATTTCTGAGGCGCTTTTATCTTTCCTTTTCTTTCCAGGACCTGAGTAATTACGAGCTGCTCTTCTACAATGCCCTGTTCATGTTGGTGCCCCTGTGCCTTCTCTCCTGGTCCCTGGGAGACGTGACGTTGGTGAGTCGCCGGCAAGTCGAAACAACCGCCGCGTTGCGACGTCGCGCGTTCCACGCTCCCTGATCTTTGTCAGCACGACCGACCTGTAATTTTTTGGTTCTGTCCCGATTTTGAGGAATCCGGTTTGGGTTTTGCTTTTGGGGGGTTTTTTGGGCGTACACCAGAAACACTGAACCCTCCTTGCGACCGTAGGCGTGGCAGTTCCCGCTGTGGGCAGATCTCGGGTTCCTGTTGTCGTTCCTGGCCTCCTGTTTCATGGGCTTCCTGGTGATGCACGCCACGATGCTCTGCACCGCCCACAACTCTGCCCTCACCACTACCATCGTGGGCTGCCTCAAGGTGGGCCTCGGACCGCCTGTCACCTTTTCGTTCGTGCGCTAGTAGCTTCGAGTTGTCGTATAGACTAAACCAAGCTGCCTGAAACTGTAGGAAATTGTTTTAAAGTATTACATTTCTTCTTACGTTGTCTAATTGTCTTTTAGGAATGGAACCATGTAATCAAACAAAGTGTTTCTTTCCCTTTCGTGTTTCAGAAGTTCATTAAATTGAACGTTGCCCAAGTTGGCAACGTTCAATTTAATTTTGTTATCAAAATGGGTGCCCCGTTGCAAGTAAAGCTTAGGAGGCATTGCTTATAAAGGGTATATTTTTTTTTAGGGTCTATATGTACTAGCTGCAGCACTTTCAACTTTAACATTTGGTTGACCCATGCCACCCCTTTTTTGCGTGTAATAACTATCGTAATTGTCATTAAGAATGTGTATTTTTAGGACGCTGCGGGAGGTGACCATTCATAGTTTCGTTACAACAAAATGATATGGTTCTTTGCTTTTGGTTCATGCTTCAATAATTTAGAAACTCCAGCGGGGCAAAGGCCCCCAAAGTTTTGACAGGCCGGATTTTAGGGAACTTGTGGAACCCATAGGTGCACATTGTCGTTGTTCTTAGCCTCGTTTAGACCAGGAATGGCAATTCTTACATGATGCAGTGAGATACGCTGCAACAAACTGCATCAACTTCTTTGCTCTGTGTAGAACATCATCACGACCTACGTGGGCATGTATGTCGGAGGGGACTACATCTTCAACTTGGCCAACTTCGTGGGCCTAAATATCAGGCAAGTTGTGCTCCCAAGGCTGCCAATTCCTGCCATGACACTTTTTGGAGTTGTCACGCAATTTCATAGTCACTTTAGAAAAATATCCACAATTGTTTTAGATACTTAGCTAAGCTTTGTTCAAGTTTCACAGAGCTGTCACCTATTTCAAGTGCTGGTCGTCACGTTCTGAAGTTTTCTGAGTGGCACTTTTCTCAGATTTTGTTTGTAGCACAATCTTTAAAACAAGCCAAAACTAGCTTTTTTTTTTTTCTTTTTCGAATTGTAGTTGCTATGATTGCCGCAGTTTAGTAGTAATACTGTTGTAATGAAACTGCCCATTCCCCGACAATTTAAGGTGGCAACGGCGAGCTGTTTTCCTGTAATAATATGCAGGATGTGAAAAGTAGTCAATCGTTGTTTTTCTCTTTGTTAGACACCACTCCACGATTGCAAAACTGCAACTAAAAACTGCCTTCCGTCAAACTTAACAGTCAAAAGCTGCAGGATCCAAACGAATATAATCCAGTAAACAGAGATAATGGAGACAACTGCATCAATCATACTTTTCCTCATATTTAATTTTTTTTAGCCTCGAGTGCAGCTGCGTTTACGTGAGAAGTGTAACTGATTGGCTCGCGAACAAATTCTGTACTCCTGCAACATTTCGATCGGCAAAAGAAATGCTTAGTGGGTGGCTTTATTTGAAATCAAACATGCTTGTCAAGATGGGTCTTTGGATTTAAAAAAAAAAAAGAAATATATGCAATTGCCCCATGTCTGTAAAAAAACAGTCACTTTTTAAATAAAAAAAAATACTGTACAAAAAAATGTTAAGTGGAGCAAGGTGAAAATTTGTTTTTTACGCCGTGATTTTTCTACCCAGTTTTGTACGCTGGTATGAATACGGAAAGCATACAAAACTGACAGTAATTTTTTGCATGCGTGTATAACATGCCGACTATTTTTTAGTTCGAAGAAGAATACTTTAATATTTCTTTTTTACTGAGGTAAAAAATGGCCAACATCGTCTCTTTGACAATTTGGTGGCATATTCAGAGCCTTGTAACTCATGAATTATTATATTTGTCGCTTACCAAATACTATGTGGGTGTTGTCCTATACATGGCCTATCAACAGGCAGTAGTTTAGTTTATTTTCATGAAGTATTTTATATAAAATTTTAGATATCGTCAAAAATGAATTCACCAATATTTTAAACCCGCTTTATCAAAAAAAAAATTATTTCGTTCAATTTTTTTAATATTGCCGTCGATCATATAATCTTTTAATTTGCTCGACGCAATTTTCCCCTTTTTTGCTGTATCTTCTCTAGAAGTGATCGAAATCACGCCTACGTTCTTGGAACGGCCAAACGCAGTTTCCGCCGGTTGGCTTTGCTGCAAAGGTTATACTGCTCATTTTTGCGTTAAAATGCAGCGGGTAGATTTATTTTGTTTGAGAACACTCGTGCTTGGCTACATATTCTATTTTGTTTGTTTCGTAACGATGCCAGCTGACATTCCTTAGTCCGATCATTAGCGGTGCAGTGGATGTTCCATTATCCGGCATCTAAAGCCAGGGCACAGAGGGAGGAGAAAACGGAACGAGCTCTTCGTGTAGCCAGACCAGGGTCACATATCTGTTTGTGCTACACACAGCTTGTAAGGCGTGAAGCACCTCGCCACAGTACACGATTTTTGTTCGCAGGACGGCTCCTTGATACAAACGTCGAAGGACCGTTGAAAAAATAGAAACAATGACAAGAAGCGTTGCACTTTTCGACTTACCGGGGAAAGAAATCAATAAGTTTAGGAAGCACAAAAAATAAGAATGGACCTGAGTAGGTGCTCGCAAAGGATTATGCTCCTCACATGTGTGGTGCACAGTTCGTGAGCCAGGCCAGGAACCTAAGGTGACATGTTGTACGGTCTCCCGCAATATGCAAGACACATTCGCCGATGTTGTTCATGTAGCGGTGCCAAATCCACCTTGGCTGGGCGCGCTTTATTTTGAAGGAGAAAATAAAACAAACCTTTATTTATTCCAAAACCCAAGCAATGTGTGCCTAGCCAAAGCGAATCTACCATAGCCACCTAAAACAAAATTGGACTAAAAAATAGTCGGCATGGTATACAAGCTCTCAAAAAATTACTGTCAGTTTTGTATGCTTTTCGTATTTATACCAACGTACAGAACTGGGTAAAAAAATCACAAAGTAATCAAGAAACTTTGAAAAGCGGTTTTGTTTGTTACTTAAATAGAGCAATTACATATACCGTCTATATATATATATCTTTTTAATCGAAAGACCCACTTTGACAAGTGTGTTCGATTTCAAATAAAACCACCCTAGTATGAGTGTTTTTTTGTTTTTTTTTGTTTTTATGTTTTGAAAGCTGGCTTGTTTATTATGTACCTTTTTTTTTTTTTTTCTCCTACAGTATGGCAGGAAGCCTCCTGTACTCCTATCTGACCTTTGTACAGAAATAGGAACCACTGAGGTCGCATGTCGGGTAAGGATCATTTCGTGCTGAGGCGGCTGCGAGAGATAAGGGTGCTCAAGCACACGTCGCCGCACTTCCATGTGGAAACATACATTGTCCTAAAATTTAACTTGAGATGTAGACGTGGGGCAGTTAGAAGTTTGCTCTGCCTTTGAATTAGTGGATCGTAATTAGTGGCCTGCAAGTTCTTGCGCGTTGACATTTTCAACGAAGGTGTGACAGTGGCTTGGTATGGCTTCAAATTTGGTAAGCGCAAATACTCTTAGTGGATTTTAAGTTTGAATCGAATTTGAAGTGATAGCAGTTTTGGCCAAATATTTTTGAATAGAATGTTGATTAGTTTCTCCGAGCCTCTTATTAAACCCAGCTGAACTTGTGCATTGCACTTGTCCATTTTAAGCTAGTTTGAATCTGTAACTATTTTTATGAACTGGGGCCTAAGAGAGTCCAGTGCCTACATTGGAACGGCAAGTAAACGAGGCGTTAGGCGTAAAACAAAGCCTAGTCGGTCCCAGGTTAAGAGCAGAGTGGAAGCTCCTCCCACTTTAGCAGAGGGAATGCTGGAGAAGATGCCTCCTCTGCTAATGTGGAACTTTACTCTTAATCTGTCACTTACTAGAGCTATACCTAATTGAGAGCATTTATAGTTCTTCTCGCTATATGAAAGTACCCTTTCTTCAATCTCAAATACAGAAAAAACAAAAAAACAACCCCCCAAAAAAACAGCCTGACGATTGGTTTGCACAGGTTTTGGGGGAATCTCTGATTAACGTATACTTCCCCATAATAGCCACAGTTTAAATTTGAAAATTGTATTGCAACGTAGCTATCAACTTTCACCAAGCTTTTGTTTCATCTTTAAAGGGACGGTGCAACGATATTCAATCGGAATGTTTTTCACTTTACACGAGCTTACTGGCACTAGTGGGACTCAAGGATACTCGCACGCAACGCCACTGACCAAGAAACTCCTATGTTTCGCTGTAATTTCGAAAACGAAACCGAGTGTTATCGTTCAATCTCTCCTTCACAAAACTTGATGACGTAGCTGGGCGGTAGCGGTACTGCCCAGTGACGATATTCGAATGCGGCTCATAGATTGTACCCGAGCATGGCGTGGACACTCGATTTGGGCTCGAGAAGCATTCGAGTAGTGGCCCGTGTCCAATCGCTGCAACGACGACAACAGCCAAACTATAACAATGTCTGGAACTCAGCGCATGTCCTGTGCCTTGCCAACACCAGCGCGTGGCTATGATCAACACTGACGGCATATAATCGGCTCCAGATCATGTGGCGGCTTGTTCTGGCTGCGAGTTGAGGGGGTGAAGTCTGCTCGTTTTTCTTTATTTTTTTCTGGGACTTCTATTGCGTGGGGTGAAAAACGAACGGGTATTTCACAGGTCATTAACGTCAGGGATCTGTTCTAAGCGGTATTTGCGCAAAATACAAAAATCGTTGCATCGCCCCTTTAAGGGGGGACACTACCTGGGAATGTCAACTTTTGAACCGCTCACTCAATCGGCGTGATATTTGCGGGTGGTGTTTGTAGCCATATAAAAGGCGGGCTTGCTAAGTTTCAGCCCTGTGAACCAATTTTATGAGGTACTGTAACCCCAGAACGAAGTAAAGCTCAATGAATTTATCCTCGAGAAATGGTGTTGACAACCACATATGTTTCTGGTGGGATGCATACTGGAATACCTGTTGCCGGTTAAAAATAAAGTCTGTCGATAGTTTCATACTGAAATTATAGCTTTTATTAAGTGAAATTTATGCCAAAAAGTGGAACGGAGAAAAACACCTTCAAAGTGCTTGACCCTAACTTTTCCTTTAGCATTGGTAGACCACAAATAGTTTATAAAAAAATAACCATACAGTGTAAACAAATGAAACTTTGTGGGAATACTCTCTAGATGTTGGCGGACGTAAATATGGCATTTTTCAAAATGCCATATTTAAATGTTTTTTTTCCTGGGTCATGTCCCCCTTAATACACCAGGGGTGTGCATGCAGCATCCCGCTTTGAAAGTCTCCAAAGCATGCGGCTGCAAAATCTGTACTTTAGGAAGTGTTGATTGCAGCGGGTGAACCCTGTGAAGCATTCTTTTTACCGAGCACCGGTGCCCTGTGGAGAAGCAACACCCACGGAGGCAAGCTTTACGGGTGTTGCTTCTCCGCAGTGCATCGGTGCTCGGTAAGAAGTGCGCCCAATGGGTCCAACTAGAGTTCCTGTATAGGCTCCCTACAGGAGCCACAGTTGTGCGTTCATTCCCGTAGCGCCGTCTTTCCTGCACGGCATGTTGATCCCGCGCCCGACGTGACTGAATTCAGCGAATAGCAGCGCCGCGCATTCGAAGCGCGCGGCAGACTCAAAAGCAGGGCAACGTATGCTGGGGCGTGTGCAACGTCTGCTTTCCTGCACGGCATTTGATCCAGCTCCTCATGTGATCAGATCTCGGAGAATAGCGGCGTGGCACCACATGGAAAACAGACACGCAACTCTGGCTCCCGTAGGGAGGCTATACAGGAACTCTAGGTCCAACCTGCCGCGATCGACGCGTAAGAAGAATATGAATGTCGCATAATCTTAAGATGGATGGATGAAAATTGGTTATACCTTTTGTATTTGGCACTAGCTTGCACCACTTAGTCTAGAAACATTTATGCCCCTCCCCTTTAAATTTTGCTCTAAACTTCGTCGCTCCTTAAATTGGCTGGTTCACCAATGTTCGGTATAACCAAACTTCTCCTTGTTATCACCCTTCTTGAAACACGGGACATAAAATTTCTGCAGCCGAGTGCACTGCTAAGCCTCTTTGTCGCAAAATCGAAATAATGACCTTGCAGTGAACCGCCTTCCCTAAAAAAGCAAATTTCTAGCATCCGTGGTTTTCTTTCGCAGTTAATTATTTAGCTTTTGAATTGACGTGGAAGCCACACATGGGTTGCAATTACGTTTGCAGGCTACATGCATCCCGAAGGTCCGCCACCAACTGGTTTGGTGTCGGTCTGCGACCGGATCGAAGAAGGCCGACGGCATCGACGCCGAGAGCAGATTCCAGACGTGGTGCCGAGGACGACCGATCCTCGTCTTCTCCGAGCCACCCCCGTCAGTTTATTTATCGCGTCATTATCTCTCTACAGGGCTGCAATTCGTGCCGTTGTTCCTTCGCTCGTTGGAAATGTCATTCAGTTTTCGGACGGAAAAAGTCAATCTGTGCCGAGTATTATTTTGCTCTCCCGATCCGCTGGAAATTCTCCCATTCGGCGGGAAATTCGGCGTCCTCTTTCCGTTTTAATTTCAAGTTCTCATTCGTGCTAAAGCTTGCCTTTTAACCCTTTGACGGTCGTCGCCGCCGGTTACACATTTGAAAGTTCCTGCCTAAACGCGAGAGTGTGCTCACCGTGGGAGGCGTTGCCATCAGTCATGTCTTTGGCGAACAATAACCGTTATATTTGTACGGTGGTTCGCTTTGCTAGGCTATTTATAGTTTTCAAATTAGACGCTTTGCGCACGTGATGCTCACTTCGCGCATCGGGCAGCGGTGCCAGTGAGAGCACTGGCCGTTTTGATTCATACGCTTTCAGAATTGAATTTGGAGGATGAGATCTAGTCATCCGATAGAAAAGCTCCGCAAAGTGCCTTGGTTAGGGATCTGAAGCCGCTGGAACGTCGCAGAAGCGGACGCACCAAGATGGAATCGAACAGCCAGTTGATGCTTCTAGGCCTAAACAGCTTTCAAGCACTCCATGTCCTCGCACTAGATAATTTAGGGAAAAAAAAGACTGATCCCAATAACAAAACCTGATCATTAAAAAACAGATTTTGGGAAAACTAACTCGACCGTCAAAGGGTTAGTGAATATGTTATCAGCAACATCTGTATGCTTTACAGCTGAAAAGAAGAATGTGTGTATAGCACACACTTAATTTTGCTTTGGGTTTTCCACTCCTTGTCGGTTTTTACGTAACTTTTGTCACCAATTTCATGTGGCAAAGTCTTAGCAATTTTTCAAATGGAGTCCGATCAGCGTGGGTATTTTAGGACCCAGACGCTGTTTGTAGGGTGCTTCTTGGTTTCATTTCTCGCCTGGTGCGACTCAGTATTTGCCTTTGGGCCTTTCGAGACTTTCATTTTCTAACTTTACGAATTGTACGGGGATAATGCCCTTTCAGAACAGGTGCATGCAGCATTTGGGCTTCAGCTCAATTCAAAAGGATCAAACACATTGTGTGCCATAAGGAAACAAACAACAATCATATATAGATAGAGCATGTTGTTTTTGTTTGTTTTCTGTCTCGTCTCATCCAGAAGTTGCATAAATTACAGAACAAAAGTGAGACTGGCTGCAGAGTTTTAGTGCACGAAAAATGTGCAGCTTGCCCTTGGTAATCAGAATGTGATCAAACCGTAGGAGTGAATAAAAAGATTTTTTTCTCGTTAAATTGCAACGCTCGAGCCGTTTCTTTCACAAGGCGTCATTGTGGAAAATTGATTGATGAAAAGTATAAATTCTAAAACTTGTAATGGGTACTAAAGAATTTTTTTCGCAATGTGGCAGATTAGCGAGTTGGGGCGTTCAGGTGAAAACACAATGATCGACAGATTGTGGGATAGTCAGTTGGTGGTCATTCTCCCATCAAACACCGAAACCAAAGCCGGAAGAGCAGACTGTAATAGTAGGTCTGGCTAACTCAACCTAAAACCGTCTCAAGTTTTCTTGAAAAGCTGCGCTAACGACTCAAATGCACCAACGGCACGTTTGACCGCAGAGAAACACAACCGCCACAAGATTTTTGCGTAAACTTTATTTCAGCTTGCAACAACTCCAAACAAGTGGCACTCTAGGCTTTTTTTTTTTTTTTTTTTTTTGTGACCAGTGACGAGACTATGTACAGAGGGTCGACCCCGCGTTTTCCCCCCAATAGAAAAGAATCGGCCAATGCTGCGACGGCTTCTGAAAGAGGGAGAGAGGTGCGCCTGCAAAGAGCGAACGTCCGACGACCTCTCGCGCCTCCTTCCGCTACTCCGGCCTCTGTAGTCTGACACGGACTCCCGTCGGCACGGCGAACGACCACGCTCGAGCAAAGGGGGGTGGCGGCAACCGCCGACGGGAGCCGCGGCGCGCGGCGACCTTCTGCCCTTGGAAAAGTGTTTCCGAAAGCACTACGGTGAAGAGTCCTAAAAAGCGATTCTCTAAACGGCATTCGCATGAGGGTGAGGGAGATGCGTGCACGAGCGGACCACCGGCCGGTTCGAGCACCCTAGGTGGGAAGAGGCAGTCTGGGCTCGAACCGCAAAACTAACGCGCCACACTCGAACAAGGGAACGCGCACGTCGCAGCTACGGCGCCCAAAACGGGCCGACCACCGACGTGCTCGGCCGACACCTGTACTCTCTCTCGTTGTGGTTGGCGACGGAACAAGGACCGACTAGCAGGCAGCCCTGGAACTGCATTTTACCAGAGCGAAGGTTTCGCTGTACTTGCGAGATCGAATTCACGCATTATCTGCGAGAGACAATCGTTTATGACATTGTCAAAAAACTTTCGTGCCAAGGAAAAATTTTGAAAAATGAGCGAAAGTAGTGTAAAGTTTACGGAAATCGCGAATGGTCCAGGGTTACCCGACTCATGGCGCCAGTGTGCTCTCTCGTGTAAGAGATCACGACGAGGGGTTCCAACGGAGTACGGGTAAGAAAGTCTTTCGGATGGAGTACAGGTAACAGAGTCGTAGTGCCAAGATTTCGGATGCAGAACGTTCGGCACTACCGCTTTGGTATCTAGAAGAAGTTCGATGATTTAGGCTGGGACGCTGCCCAGGTGTCGCGGGAGCCGCCATTAAACTCTACAGACGATTCTAGAAGCACTGGTAAGGAAGGCGAGCAGATGCGAGCATTGCCGCCGCCGCAATTTTCGGTTCCTGTGATTTTCATAGACGGGGGAGCCTAGCGCGCCGCGGCAGAACGGATGTCTGCCACATCCGCTCCTGCTGCTGCAATGCGGCTAAGACTGCCGCGAACTTCAGTTCGCCGCGATGACGAACTAAACGTGCGGTGGTCGGAGATGCGTTCCGGATGCCGTAGCTGCGAAGGTGCACGGAGTTTCTGTGACATTTCGTTTTCCTTCCCCCTGCATAGAACCACGTCCGCTAGACTGGAAAAAGGGAGCTGCCTCGTATAGCAACGTGTGCGGCGTAAGTGCACACCGAGCTGCAGCTGCGTCCACGAAATAGATCTTTTTTTTTTTAGAAAGTGCATAGTGAACTTTGTAGAGCAGCTGCAGTTTATATTTTTTAAAGCCTGCCGAGCCGAAACAAAAAATTTGGCACGCCGACACCGTTCTCGCAGACGACGGCAATGCATCCGCGAGACGGGTCGTGAAGACGATGCTACTTGCGAACGGAGTCGACAGAATGTCCTTGTCGGTAGCACACTACTCAAACGCCCTTTGAATACGGTGTCTCCTTTCCACGACGCAAACGATAACGCCGCTGGCTAGTGGCCGCGTGAAGCAAGCTCGAGCAGACGTAAAACCGAAGCTATGGTGCATGCGACGCATCTTTGACTGGTGTGTTTAGCGTCCTATTCTTCCCACGCACCGAAAGTGGTCCCAAAGCAGCGACAAATAACATTGCAACAGCTGGAACGTCACACTATCGGATGTCGCAGCCCCGGCGGTTGGGCATAAAGGTTCCGGACAAAAAGAAACGCGAGTGATTGCGAACGTCCCCTTCGTCGTGGCGTACCAACTCCTGGCGGCCAAAGCTTCCACGGAATGCAACTCGTAGTGGAACGGGCATCTGGCACATCCACCGCCTCTGCTAGTCAACGCCAAAATCGTGGCCGGTGACAGCGTGGCATTTCATCGGGCGGATATCGAAGGACCACTTTCTTGGACGTGGTAAACGCACCAGTCGAAGGGGCGTTTCAGGCACCACACCCGCACTGGGAAGCCTCCTGTGATCTCGAAGGGGACGAGCGAGAGGGGCCTCGCGTCGGTGGGAGCTGCCGGCCGTCCCCTCACATCCTCGTCCAATTGCGGCGGGGCCGCCCAAGGACCCTCGGCTCGGCAGACGAGGCACCCGCAGAATCCTTATATATTGCTTTTCTCCGCGTCTCGCTAAGATACATCTCTGTGTGTTTGTATATGTGTGTGTATATATATGTGTATATATATATATATAGAGGATAACCCGGTATAGGTGTACGAAAATCACAAAATACTACGGTGGCGTGTGTGCCCTCCTCGCCCTCTTCCCCCAAATGTAAAGCAGCGACCCGCCCCGCGCTCATAAACAGGCCCGCTCTCAGCCCGGTGAGAGTGTATATGTGAGTGGGCGGGGCCTAGAAGGAGAGTGAGCCCGCGTCTTGGTCCCGAGGCGGGGGCTGGGGCGGCCATTGCGGGGCCGCGGACGAACGCACCAAAGGGACGCGGGCAGTAGTTAGCACCAGGGGGGGCCCCCCCGTATATCTCCGCCGGCTGAGTGGCTGCGCGGTTGTACGCTCATCAAGTGCTGTGAACCCGGGGGTCCCGCGAGAGCCACATAACGCTCCTGGAGTGCCATGCTCCGTAGCGTCTGCTTGGACCGAAAATAGAGCCCTCTGATTGGCAGCCTGCGGCCACGTCGATGCAAGCTTGGTCGGCCGAGTCAAAAGTATGATTTGTGCGGTATGCTATAAGCTGCGGAGAGCACGCCGCAAACGTCTGGCCGGCCGTAATAAAAAGCTAGATGGCTGACTTCATCGTGTCTCGAAGCACGATATCCTTTAAGTTCGGGCCACGTGGGATTTCATTGTCTGCTTCGCCCAGCTTCCTAGCTTTTAAAAATGGATGCCTTCCGAGACGTTCGAGGTGCAAGGAAGTGCTCACGAGGAAAATATTTCGCTCGATGCCAGTTCGACGGCTGCACCCGTGCGGTATCACGAAATCGGAGCTATGGAGTTCCGGCGCTCCGCAAGCGTTCCGTGGCTCTAGGACCCGTCTCAGGGCGGCTTGTTGCGCAGGGCGCTGTGAAGAAACGCCAGTTTGCGCTCGAGTGCCTGCTTCTCCCGCAGCGCCTCCCGCAGCAAGTTCAACAGACGGCGCTCCGAGTCGCGCCAGCGATGCAGCAGCTGCTCGCGGCTCAGCGCGCGCAAACGGACATCGTCGAGGTCGCTGGCGCAGCTCGGCGGCGCCCGCCGTGGTTGCCAGGCCGGCCGCATGTGCGAGAGGTCGCCCAGGGAGTGGGAGCGGCGGCGGCGACACGCCGGCGGAGCGACGGAGGGAAGTTCCTCGAGGCTGACGCTGAGGAGAGCACCGTGCACCCACGAAGATGTCGGAGCAGACGAGGAACTCGAACCGCTTGGAGGCGAGGGCTCGCGCACCAGCAGGGGTCCGATGCTCGAGGTGGCACTGAACGGACCCTCGTGCGGACTCGTCGGCGACTCCTCGTCTCTCTCCGTCTGCTGCTGTCGAACCCTGCACGCAGACGCAAGACGAAATTCAGGTCGCTCCAGTGTACGACTCCACCGCATTGCGAGAGGGATTCTCAAGGAGTCTCCAAGAGGGTGGGCAAGAGGATGAACCAGTATTGTTATGTTTGTGTAGAGGTCTGTTTGTGCAAACAGCACTTTGCAGTATATCAGCGCTGTTTTGAATCAGCACCGACAGTACTGCCAATGCAGTGCTGCCTGTGTTACCTTGGCGCTGATACACAGGTGTGAACTGGCTTTAAAGCGCTAAATAGAACCACATTCACGGGAAAGTAATACTCACACCCTCCTGATTTCCTGGATCATCTCAAAGAACTGGGACTTGCTTTTCCTACGGCGAGCCTCCTCCTTGATCTTCTGCAGGAGGGACAAAGCAGACGGCAAACTTAGCAAGGTTTAATTCTCGTCGGACTGCGACTTGTCACTTACTCGCTTGACGCTCTTCTGGAACAGACTGGCTATCTGGCCCTCACGGAGATTGCTCACAATCTCCTTGGCCGAGTGGTGTGGAGACACCAGTTCTACGGTGTTGATGAAGCGGTAAAGCTTCTGCAACCAAAGGAAAGGCAAAGATGTAGGAATTAAGTAGTGAAACTGTATGTAGGCAGATGCAATGGTACAGTATACTCCGTAATTCAAACTCCAGGAAGCCGTGAATTTTGTCTGATTCATCAGAAATTCATCTAAATATGATGCAAGATAACATGATTTGCCATACGAATGTCTACACATACAAAGCAGATATTTGATGATTTCCTCTTCACAGACCTACTGATTATAAGCAGGTATGTCACATATGAAACAATTGTGAAATGTATGACATAATTTTAATTATCTCTAAAAAATGTTGTTTATCATGGACTGTTTAGAGCACATCACAACTCAAAACAGTTTGTTCATCAGGCCAAAAAGTTACCTAATGTGCACTATTAAGTTCACATTAGGTATTAAGTTCACATCACACATGAGCGATAAAATGGGCACCGCGCGGTAGTTTCTATAGCAACTTGCGTGGACGCTGTGACGTGGACCTATGTCATATGCCACAGCATACCATCATCCGTGCAAGTTGCATTGGAAATTTTTGCCTGGTGCCCATTTTCATAGCTCATGTGTGCCCGCTTGAGTGCGCTTCTCACCCGAGCACTGGTGTACCGCGGAGAAGCAACGCCCGAGGAAGCAAGCTCCGCGGGAGTCGCTTCTCTGCAGTGCACAGGTGCTCGGAAAGAAACGCAGTCAATGGGGACGCGACAACAAAAAGTGAATTGCACGAAAATGCCGTCCGAATTAAGTGGCTTACGAATACATTAAAAACATAGCGGGACAACCAAAATTTTGAAATTTGTTTGAATTAACCAGAAGTATGAAATATCCGAGCTTGAATTATTGAGAGCCTACAGTACTTGTAGACTATTGGCTCCAGTCTATAATAATAATATTGATGCATTCTGTGCATTTTTTCTGAGAAGACAGCACCGCAGCAGTAAAACTAGCAGTAGTAATTGCTTTGGGTGGGGAGCTGTGTTTGAGGAAATCAGTAAGGTCTCAGAAACCACTCAACATGGTTAACAATATCCAACTAGCTTAAGAACCAATCAACATTGTAAATCAGTCTCCAAAACTAGTTCGGGGATCGAGGAATGTGCCGAATGAATCGACCGATCCCCAACTACAGCCCAAGAGTCAATCAACGAGGTAAATCAATGGGCCTATGCATCCCCAACTAGCCCAAGAATAAGTGTGGTAAATCAATCAATCAATCAGTCTTCAACTAGCCCAAGAATCAATCAATCGATGGACAAGTCTCAGACCTGGCTGAAGAACATGAGGTTGGGGCTCTTCCAGAAGCACTGCTTGGAGCGAGCCCTGAGCCCCGGCAGAGCGTAGCGGAACACGAGGTGCTCGAGGATGAGAACTAGCGAGCCTGCCAGCAGCCCAACTAGAAGCATGATGAAGAGACCTGCCACTGCACGCACGCCCAGCGGCATCGGCTTGTCCAGACGCTGAAGCAGGCCGTCCTGGAGACAGTGCGCCCGCCCGTACCACTTCCCGTGCAACTGGTCCAGGTAGCCCACAGCGTTGTAGCGCAGGATGAGTTCGGACACGGCAGCAGTGAGCGGGAAGCCGCGGGCCATGCCCACGGCGTAGGCGTCGTCGAAGATGGAGTCACCCAGGAGACGGAGCCGGCAGCTCGGCTCATTGGCCCGGTAGTAGTTGAGGACGGCCGTGTCCCCGATTAGGACGTCCAGGGTGCCCAGGCGCAGTGACTCGAGTCCTTGCTCGAGCGAGGCGACGCCAAAGCGCTGGATGTGTTCCCAGAGACGCTTGTTCTCGGCAAAGACATAGCCCTCGGCTGCAGTACCACGGGCCGTGCCTGTGCGCTGGCTGAGGAGCTGCAAAACGTGGCAAAAGGAAACGAATCCAAATCGAATTTCGGGGTTTTGTGTGAGTCAAACCAACGAAGGACATCTGGCGCGCCCCGGCGGAGGACTGAGGATTCATTTCGACCACCGGGGGAAGGGGCGGTCTTTTGACGTGCAACTGAAATCACGGTTACGTGTCAAAAGGGCGTCGAATTGCGGGCACCTCGGCTTGAATTCGAATGCCGTTCGGGGATTTGTAGGACGGCGCTTCGTCTTGGAGCCTAATGAAAGGCTCCAAGGCATTCTATTAGAAGGTGTTATTATGATTACGAATATATTCTTACCACTTTAAGCTTACAAAATTTTTTGACACGTAGACCCTTGCATGATACCATATTTTTACACAAAGTGATCCACGGACAATACTAAGCTCTGTACATTTTCACGCGTCTGCTTGCGTCTGTAGAAAGCACTCTGTATTCTACCCATCCTCGATGGACACACTGACACCGTTAATTTGCATGCAAATTTCAGTCAATAACTTAGCATCATCATCTTTTGATATTTTTCATGACTTTGCTTCCTTCAAGCGTGATCTTGACATACTGCTGTACCATCCCTAAAACAATGTCTCATTGAGGCTCTTTTTTTTCTTTCTATGTGCCACCACATCAAAACCTCATGGTTGCTCTGGGGCACTAAAAAAATAAAGGATTATTATTAGTATTAAAGAAAACCATATTGCACAAGATATTCTGGATTTATGTGCTAATGCAGCTAGGGCTACGTTCAAAACAATGGGAAAGGGCTTGGGATTAACTTGGAGCACCGGGCAATATTTTGTGTGCAGTAATATGTTAGCAATGTTTTTGCAATCAGTATCCCCCAAGCTATGAACGAGTGGGGTAGGTATAAATCGTCCCTTACTGGATTAATGATGAGGGATACATTACCTAGCTCATACTCGCATTGCGTGGCATACAGGTTTGAGGGAATGTTGACTGTATCATTACAAAAACGCTATCGGACTGGAATTACTCTTTTTTGAAAAAAACTTTTCATACTCGCAAATTTTTTAGTTTTAATTTTGGTAGCACAGACACCTGCAGACAGGGCACTCTGTCAGAAATACTGTAGCTGCCAAGACACTTGGACAAACGAGCTGGCTACGATTCCTTTTGTTCGGGTATTTTGGACACCTTGTTAAACACCCAATCCAATTGTAAACAGCGTTCTGCATCTGGCATACGACCCTGGGCACATAGGTCAGAAGGGTGCTTGTAATCTGCAACCTCTCAAGGATTGGGAGTGCTTTGCACTTATGTGTGGATTTGCAGATGCCCTTGTCAGGTGTGTACTGCAAGTCATTACTGAGTTCATTCCCATGCAACTTTCCTCTGAATCTGCAGGTATAGGTATCTGATACTACTGGTTGACAAAGACAAAAGTGGAACACGAAGTTGCAGCATTGGCAGAAAAAAAAGCTTGAGTGCATCTCATTGCCTGATAATTAAACAGCGGGCATTACAGAGTACTTTTAGAGCATTGGCACAGGTGAGAGCTGCAGTATCACAAGCCTCGTGAAGGAAGTGGGGCGACGAAACGCTTACGCACACTGGTGTCGTGGAAGTCGTGCACTTGCATCTGGAAGAATAGGCCCGCAAAGTGGGCCGCGATGTTGGCCGTGTAGCTGGCGAGGAAGATGACGGAGAAGCAGCCCCACAGGTTAATGAGCACTTTGTTGGGCCAGGATTTGGGTGCCTTGAAGGCCACCAGGTGGGAGAAAAGCAGCGACCACATCACCCACAGTGCCGAGGCCAGGCTGAAGTTACGCGTGCGCTGGCGCCCCCACGGGTTCAGCCCGAACGGCGAGAACCACTCGTAGAGGGCCGCCGCCAGTGCCGTCACTTTCAGGCTGAGGAAGATGGCCAGCCAGAGGGGCACGCTGAAGGGCACCAGGAACGCCGACAGTGGCACGTCCCGCTTGACCGCATACGCCAGGCACGACACGCCCGAGTGGAAGAATGGCACCGAGAAGTCGACTCGGCGGGAGCGGGACGACGTGACGGAGTAGGCTGTGGCCGCCACGTGTGCTGCACCCGAGATGAGGTCGGCGGTGATGCCGCCCCAACGGCCGCCACGGTCGGTGCCGAAGCTCCCGTCGGCAACAAGGTAGAGGTCAAAGTCGAAGGAGAGGTCGCGGGCGAGCGACTTGAGCAGGTCAATGGCAATGCCCGCGCAGCAGGTCACGTTGTAGCCGGGGTGGCGAGTGTGGCCCCCCGTCCGGTGGTAGTGGGCAAACAGGGCCGCCAGTTCGTCCGAGATGGCCGTCGAGACCTGTTGGGCAGACATTGTCACTATTGACCGATCCAATCACCAAGATGACTTTTTTGTGCGACAAGTAGCTAAAGAGGGCTGGGGGTATGTCCGAGATAGTCGTCAAAAGTGTCGAGGTGGACAACGGTGTGTTGGCACGAGAAATATATTTCTTATAGTGTGTGCATTTTCACTAGTGATAGGGTGCTCAAATCACTAATATTTCCTTTCTCTTAGTGCCACATGGCTTAAGAGGGCTGCAAGTTCGTCCGAAATGGTCGTCGAAATCTGTCCGGTTGGACAACCATGTGTTGGCACAAGAAATATTCATCTTAGAATGTACATTTGCACATTGTCCTAATGATAGAGTGTTCCAATCACCAAGATATCCTTTCTCTTAGCGACACCTATTTCTCGTTGCATCGTTAAAATATGGGCAGGGGTAAACAGAGAAGTAGAGGCTGCCAGACAGTGCTGCAAATGCCAGGACAAGAAGGCCCTCTAAGACATACTTAAATGTGTTCTGCGATCAATTCTATTTGATTGCTACGAGTGTGTCAGCGACCGTCGGGAAACATTGCCCGTGATTACACAAAGAGGACACATGGCCAGAGGCTGGCAGTTGCCATTAACTAAACTAGCCAATCGAGATCAGTGAGAAGCAAAAACAAAATCGAACACACAACATTCTTGCACAGGAGGTTGTTTTGGCATCTTCCGTTCATCCCAATCTCAAATCCGTGTTTGTGCCTGCTAAGCCTTTGAAATGGGAACTGATTACAGGGGACAAACGTACCTGAAGACAAGGGACTCCAGTGAGGCAGCTTCCGTTCCTCAGACGAGTGGCGGCCATGACAAAGGGCGCTGCGTACGCCGTGACAACTCTGAAACGCGGCTGGCCGAACGGCCGAGGTCCCATCAACGTCGGCTCGCCCGTCGAGGGCCACAGCACCGCATCGAGGACGGCGGAACCCTTGGTGACGTTACCCACGGAACGCCACTGGGCACCGCCCTCCGCCGGCACCAAGTTTAAAATGTCAAACACGGGCGGAGGAAATCGCTGACTCTGCACGGCGTCGGCCGCCGCCGCCCTCAGGTACCTGCGGGAAAAGGAGGCGGGGTTACCTGCAGGGGGACAAATCAGTGGTCTCGAGAGAAAGAGAGGGATGGAAGAGTGGAGAAAAAAAGCAGATGATTGTTTAGGCATGTTCGTTTGGTCACGCTGAGTCGAAGTTGTTTGAGCGCTCGTTAACTTTACTTGTTTTTGTACAACCTGCGATGCCAGTGTTTACCTGCAAAGTAAGCTAGAAAAGAGCTAGGCACAGACGTTACGGGTGATGTTCTGCTGCTTTTTTGTGTATATTAAGGTGCCGCCAGCGATATGGGCCCATTGGGACCATCCACAGGTCCGTCTACCTCTTCTACTAGATTATTACATTAACTCCATGGCTACTTTTGAGGCTGCCATTTTGTTTCAGGTCAAAAAGCTGACAAGCTTTTGGCTAAAAAAGATATCTCCTCACAACTTGGCATCTCCTGGGAGCCAACTAAAAGTTAAAATTTTAGGCTGTGCGAACTCAACAGGAATTTTGTTTTTCAAGATTGTTCATTACGACGAGACGTGACAGATTTTGGGAATGAAAGAATATGCTATTGATAATTTATGTATGATACAAGCTTCTTTGTGAGCTAAGAAAGCAGACATTTGTCAAGGTGTGCCGTGTATGAAAAGATTTTCGTGTCGACTAAGCACCAGGTGCGGCCTATGCACCGGGTGCAAACTAGTATCTAAGCAAAAAACGTTTTTTATTGCCTAAATTGGTTTTTGCAGACTATACACCGGGTGCAAACTATAGCCAGGAAAATGCAGTAGTTTGAAAGGGTGCGAAGACACCATAAAGGCCCGTTCACATACTCGCATTGCTTAGGGCCGACTTGTTGCAATCTCTTACGATGATAGAGCATGCTGGTGCCATCTTTGAGGTGACCCTGGAACTGCATTTCAATAAAGCGAAGGTTTTGCGGTAAAACAGAAGGAATTTGGATGAACCTTTGGTTCATCCAAATTCCTTCCCAAAGAGAGAGTTCCAGTTATCTTATTCGCCATGCAGTGAACTGAATTCCTGCCTACCCGACCACTTTTAATGGGGAAGAAATCTGTTCAATGCTTCACAATTTGGTTTGATTAGCCAAGAATAAAACGGTTTACGCTATACAAACAAATTGACAGCGCACCAAATAATCTGTTGTCTGCAGGAACATAATTTATGAAATGAAACAAATGACAAAATTTGGAGTCACTCCAAGGTGGCTGTGTTGTCTCCACCCCTCCGACTGAGTCCAATTCTTCTAAAATTATTTGGCCCACTAAACTTAAAGTTGTCCGCGCAACACCTCAAACATTTTGAAGGATTCGAGTGAATTTTTAACAACTCTACAACCAGACTTAATCTCTTTGTTCTTTTGTGATACAATTATGATAATGAAATGCAGCACAACTCCTCAGAAAAGTTTCATATTGACAATTTTGAAGTGTATGGAGGCATTACATCGTGTGTAGTCTAAAAAAAACCCAAATGGTCCCCAAGCACACATACCCGTGGAGCCTTTGTGAAAACATCTCTCTTCGAGCGCTGGGTTCCTCCCAGCAGGACGGTGTGGGAGCCCCGGAAGCATTGCGGAGCGCCAGAGGATACTCTATGGGGCCCCAGCGCGAGAGTCCGTCGTGTAGTAGTCCGGCCAGCAGGCGAGGGGCATCCGTACGCTCCACGTGGCTCTGCCTCAGCTGCAGGCTCAGGGCTCCCAGGGGACAGCCCTTTAAGGCCGACCCCTCCACGTCTCCGCCTGCGAGCAGAGCGAGGAAAACGCTTTGAGGCTCGGCCAAGTTGGCAGTTGTTCGAAGACAGTGATAATGAATGAATGAATGAATGAAAATAAATGAATGAATGAAAATGAATGAATGAATGAACGAAAGAGAGCATTTTGGTCGGTTCTTTCTTGTCTATATCTCGTCATTTTGCTCTGTGCGCCTTTTAGAAGCAATATATAGAGTCACTAAGCAATGAGAGAGTAGGGAAACGGACACCATCTTAGGTCTGGCTCTAGTAATGTCAACAAGGGACAAACCCAAGCAGCAAAAATGTCCTATGAACGTCCAGAGGACATCCCTGGAATTAAAATAAGATGATCTGATGGGCGAGTTGGTTATACATAATACACACTGCAGCGCAAAGGACAAGGACAAGTGAAAGATGTAGACAAGCGCTGTACATCCCTGAAACGTAGGGACATTCTAAAGACATGCTACTAGGGAAGGGCCAGATAAACCAATGAAGGAGCAATGTTGAAAGCTTGATCTTAAATAAAACAAGTTAAGCAACCCAGCTGCCTGTAGAAAGTAAAATGATACACGCAACAATTAGTTGGAGGAAACAAAAAATTATACTCGCATGTCGGATAGTGATCTAGCCAGAGATTTGATATATATCTGTGCGGGCGATGTCTTGGTGATTAACGTGGGATGTGCTCCCACCTGCAGCACTCACCACAAGGGTGCGGACTGGCCGGATTCGGGTCGTCTCGCTCCACAAACAGCCAGAGGTGGTCCCCGGCCAGAAGGCCAAGGGTTCGGGCTGCATCTAGCACGGCTCGCACCATGGGCGCCTCCACGAACAAGAGGACGATCCGCGCCTGGGATGCCGTGATCTTGGCCAGCGGCCCAAGGAGCGGCTGGGTCGGGCCGGACAGAGCCAGCCTCAGCATGGGGCGCCAGGGCACGCCGCGGCACAGGGAGCCCAGCCGCTGGGCCAGCATGGAAGACGCCGCCGACTCGTCCGTGACGAGAACAAAGTGGTACCAGCGGTTTTGGGACAGGAGGCCGAACAGCGCTTCGGTCAGCTCGGGGAGGCCGGGGTCCAGGCTCAGGTAGAGTGGGCTTGCTTCCTGCGGGGATGTCGACAATTGTTTTGAGCATATCAATGTGTCACATGGCCATGCACCTCGCACGTCGCTGGGGGTCCTTCCGGAGGTCACGTGGATCTAACACAACATTGAATTGACTTCGATGGGTCGTAGCGTCTTCTACGGACCATCGTAGAAGGAAATGGAAAGTGCCCCTCCCCCCCCCCCCCCTTTTTTCTGCGAGTGCTGCTTGTATGGTGAAAGTGGCTTGCAACTAGCTCGAGACCAGGAAAATAAATATATATATTTTCTCTGGGTTTACTATACGATGTTTCCCAACTAGCTCACCTGCATAATTTCCCTTCTGAGAAGCTCCCCTGTTCGGAAGTATTTTATAATAGTGGTGCAATGACCTGACAAACTTTGCCATCCCTGAACCTTATCTGAGCACTCTCATGTTTTGGCGTACCTTTTATAGTATTTGGATATTTCTTGTCAACATAATGTCACTGCTTCGTCCTCATCTATATTTTTACTGTTGCCTTTCAAATAGCATGCTTTGCTTCTAACCTCATTTTTGTAAAGCACTCTTTTTAAATGAAGCTCCTTCGAGGTACCTGGGCAAGCGAATAAAATCCTTATGCATGGGCTGACATTTCTTTGTAAATCTCTTTGCAGCGGTGATTAGATTGATCATTGGTAGTGCTGTACAATTTAATGTATGAGCCGTTTGGGCACATATTACATGGAACGGGTCTGGTGTCTGAAGCCCAAAAACTCGCAGCACCAGGTGTGGAAAATTGATGTATTGAGTCTTGCCCCATGTGGTAGAGGATAGTGAAGTCCAAAGTGCTGTTTCTGACAATAAACAGAAAAAAAAAGTGCCAAAGAACTCCAAATAAAACAAAAAGTAGAAAACAAATAAGTCGACAGACCACTGTGTCACCGTAACCCTTCAGGACACCCTCTGACTTTGTTTCCGAGTTCTTGCGCGCACCTGATCTAGAATACTTAATTTTTTGCCACAATTTTTTGTTCTGTAGATTTAGTTTGATGCATTTCCTTAACAGCTGACTGCTTCCACGAAACTAATTTGTGCACCCCAAACAAATCCGCGCCTGAGCCTCTAACATCTTTACTTTTCGACGCCGCTTGCATCACCAGCCAGACTGTGTGTTAACCCAAGGAAGGGATCAAAGAAGTATATAACGCCGCCACAATTAATCACAATAAAAAGGAAGCCCGACACCGCGCCTAGAAAACAAAAAGCAAACCAGACACGCATGCGTGTAAAAAGAAAACACTCTCAGACTGCCTAAAAACAAACGAGTATACACGTAAGAAAACCCTACCAGATCTCGTCCCCCGCTGATGTTAGTTTATGGCGACCCCCCGGCGGCCCCGTCGTGTCTCGGGTTTCGCTCATGATTAAACGTGGCGATGGTCGGGCCGTGGATCGACCCGTCGGTCAGCTATCGGTGGTTGCGAATAACTCGCGGGGGCTCCGCGGCACGTGCGAGCATACCGATCGATTTATTCGCTCCAGGAACGCGGTCACCCGCGCGGCCGCGAGGTGAGATAACAGACCACGTGCGTGAATTTGAACATCCTACTCCTCCCCCTCTCTCTTTTGAGAGCTGTAGAGTAAAAGTATGCGGTTGACTAGAATGTCGGTGACTCAATACCTCTCAAGTTACAACGAAATTTCGGGACTGTTGGTTACAAGGAAATTTCGGTTAAAACGAAATTTCTGCGACTTTTGGCAACAAAAACGTAACTATAACAGTTATCTTTTAGAATTGTCTTGTAACAAGCGTTCGGTTACGGTTAACTTTTCAAATTTAAATCGACACCTAACTACGCTAGGCTCAACATGAACGCTGCACGTTGTCGCCACTTCCGACGATGCCATGGGTGGAGTGATGAATCGAAAAAGGGAACCTGAACCGTTCTTCGGCAATCGCAGCACATCTGGACGTTGTAGTATGTTTGAAATGTAACTAGGACACGTTTTGTTATTTGTGTAACTGCGTCTGTAAATTACTTGCTTTGATAGTAACTCGGCCTTCAGTCCTTCCCTAAACGTTTCGTGTTTTAGTCCGAAAGAGAGAAATTGGACATTACACGAACCGACACGAGCAATCTCAAAGCGTGCCAGTTACGGATGAGACTTTCTTCGAGCCTTTCAGTTTGTTTGTTCTTTTTTCTTCGTCTCTTTCCGAGGTCGCGTGTTTAAAGGACGTTTCTGCTCGGGTTAAACCTCGGATCCAAACCACCGTCGAAACGACGTTCCTGCAGCGTGATCCTAGTTCCCTCCCTAGAGATAGTGACCCGATCTCACGGCCCCAGACCGGAAATCTATCCAGTGCAACTCCTGAAGCGACATATTCGATGCTCTGAGCACTCCCGACCAACGCAGCCGGCCCCCCTAAACACCGGGCGGACAAACCGGCAATCGGCGCCACCGGCAAGCGCGCTTCCCCGCACCGACGGTGCCCACGCGGGGAAGCCCAACTCACCTGCGCGGCGCGGTCCAGGTACCCCCCGGTGTACGCGAGCACGGGCATCCTGGCCCGTCCCGCGGCGAGCGCCGGCGCGAAGGCCGCCGGCGGCGCCGCCAACGACACGACGAGCAGGGGTGCGTGTCCCTCGAGCGCGGTGCAGAGCGCGGACAGGGCAGCCCGGGTGTCGGGCACGGCGCTGAAGGCGGCCACGACCCAGGAGGTCGCGGAGGCATCCCCTGGCCCGGCGCCCCAGCGCGCCAACGCGCGGCGCAGGGCCCGGGCTAGCTGGGGCGCCGAGCGCGGCGGGAGCGCGGCGAGGAGCGCCGGCGTCGAGTCGACGGCCACCAGTAGCACGGCGGGCACGAGCAGCAGCCAGGCGACCAGCACGGGCGGCGCCAGGCGCGCCATGGCGCCCGCTACTGGTCGCGGCGCCGCGCGGAAGGCGCCATGGCTGCGGTGGCTGCGGGCCCACTGCGGCGCGCTGCGGCGGCCGCTAGCGCGCATGCGCGGCCTCGAGCCCGGCGCCATAGCCCTGGACTCGCGACGGTGGCGCCGGTGTTGTCCCGTGGCGGGGTGCGGGTGGAGCGCGTGGGGCAGAGCCGTATATTGGGAGAGTTTGGCCATTCATTGGTATCAATGGGGCGAAAATCTATTGGTCGAATAGTTGATTGACAGGCCGCTCGTGGCCAATCACAAGCCGCAAAACCTCCCCTAGCGGTGGTCGTGAGCCTCAAAAGTAAAGCAGGGTTCGGTAATTTCATTTTAGCGTCGCTAGAGTTAAAAAAGTTAACGCTCGGTGACTGAAAACTTGGTGAAGGAATGCGCACGCGGACACGTGCGTTGAAATAACGTAAACAAAAGTTTGTGTAGCCGCGGGAGTTCCGCCGTTCCGGTCTTGTTTGAAAAATGGGTCGTTGTTGTGCTCTGAAGTGCCGGAACAGAGCTTCCAGGGGAATTCGCTTGTTCAAGCTGCCGAAATCCCCGAGGAGACGGAAACTGTGGCTTTCAGGAATCAAGCGTGGCGCGAGGTGGAAACCTCCCGACAGGACGTACCTTTGCGAGGTGAGGTATTGTTCATTGTTAATATTGTGACGCGAGCACGGTGGACGCGAGTGCACTGTGACAAAACCGTGTATTTTGTGATCTATTTTCTACTGCCGTGGAAGCGTCCTGTGCGCTTTCGCTTCACCGCAGAAAGCCGAGTGGTTCAGGCCTGTGGCGGTCGTGCGATGATGGATTTGTAAGATCGCGTATTTTGAAAGCGTGAGCCTCTCGTCAGCGGAATAACTGTACTGTGACGCGAGCGGCTGAATACACAGTTTTGACGTCTACCAAAACGTTATTCGCTGCAGGACCACTTCGAGCCCTCCCAGTTCCAGACGAGGTGCTCTGACGGCTGGAGGAGGCTAAAAGCCACAGCTGTTCCGAGCTTGTTTCTGCATTCTGAAAGTCAAGTGAGTCCGTGTAACGAGGATAAGTGAGATTTTTGTTCTTTTGGTATTTACCTAGATTATGAGAGTGAATTAAAAGCAATAATTTATCTTGTGTTAAGATGTTTTTACTGATATGATTTGAAAGAGGCACAGGTGACCTATAATAATGTGGACTTGGTAGGCTGTTGACATCTCTGTTCCATGTCAGAGACCTTTTTTTTTTTTTTTTTAAATCGGAGTGGTCCTTGTGCAAGAGTGCATGAGACACCATCATTCAGTGTTGCAGCCTGACACAGCACAAAACCCCGCCTCATGGAAATGTAAGTCAAAACCCAATAACTCATATTCTGTTGCTTCTATTAAGTTAATGCATGAGGCATTCATCACTCTCAGCTGCCTTGTAATGTTATGACAGCCTCACCAGCTAAGTATCTGTCATGGTTCTTGCATGGCTTGGAGTGATCTCGTGAGGTGGGCAACACCCAATGGACCATTTGCAGAATTAGTGGTTCGAGAGTGCTTGGCTAAAAGACGAGAGTTCCCTGGCCGCAGGCACGTCCACTGCATCCCGTTGGCGTATTGTGTCGCAGTGACTTAGATAGAGCTCCCCCAAAACCACTTTTGTCCCCCTTGAGGATTATCTTTCACCCCGAGGTAAATACAAAGAAGCCTTCGTCCCTCTCCGCTCGGCCAGCATGAAGAGAGAAAGGGCGACAAATCCATTTATTCTCGAACCCATATTTCTGCAAAACGAGGATTCTCCTACCGTGTTTGCAGCAACCAGCGGCCAGGACCTCCGGAGCGACCCTGCAGGTCGGCCTGCTGACGCAGCCGCTCCCCACCACCAGCGGGGCGTGCTTCGTGAGCATCTTCCAGGGTCCTGCGTACCCCCGTGTAGCAATACCACCACGCTCTTCGCCGCAGGTGACCAGTGACAACCAGCGCGACCAGGCCAGCTCAGCTGCCCGCGGCACCTTGGTGTCGGCACACTCCACCAGCTGGGTATGTGGTTCTTGCACGGCTTGGAGTGATCTTGTGAGGTGGGAATCACCCGATTCTCATACCGTGTTTGCAGCAACCAGCAGCCAGGACCTCTGGAGCGGCCCTGCAGGGCGGCCTGCTAACGCAGCCGCTCCCCACCACCAGCGGGGCGTGCTTCGTAAGCATCTTCCAGGGTCCTGCGTACCCCCGTGTGGCAATACCACCGCACCCTTCGCTGCAGGTGACCAGTGACAACCAGCGCGGCCAGGCCAGCGCAGCTGCCCTCGGCACCTTGGTGTCGGCGGCCTCCACCAGCTGGGTATGTGTCATGGTTCTTGCACTGCTTGGAGTGATCTCATGAGGTGGGCAACACCCAATTCTTGTACCGCGTTTGTGGCAACCAGCGGCCAAGACCTCTGAGCGAACCCTACAGCCTCTTTCTCCATCATCCGTTTTACCTAAACTCACTGAAGATGTCTTTCTTCAGATGAGCCGGAAGATCCAGCAGCTGGAGAACGAGAGTCATCGCTTGGTGAGGCAGGCTGCCTTACAAAAGACAAGGGAAGCGACATTCCGATCTCACTTGCACAAGTTCTTCACTGCGGACCAACTGGCAGCTCTATGGAGATCCGGCAACAGGGGGTCCAAGTGGTCTAATGAGACGGTGAAGAAGTCGCTGCAGATGCGATTTGCATGTGGCAGCTTGGGCTACGACTTGCTACTGGAGGGGAGCTTCCCATTGCCGTCGTCTAGAACTCTGGGGCGGCGGCTTGAAGGCAAGTTTGTTGTCAGGCCACTCAAATGCTTCAAAGCTCCCTGTTGATTATTTGCAGATATAATATCCTTGTTAGTAACTGTAGTGTTTTTGTATTTTACACAATTTATTTTTAAATAAGTTGGTGTCATGGTTCCTTTTTCACTTAGTTGCAGTGTGGTATGAAGGGGTAGATTATTGATATTGTGTTGGAATGATTCTCTCATCGCAGGCATACAGCACTAGTTTGACCTCAGTATCTTGCAAGCGTCGAGATGTGAAGTCAAGTTTGGAGGGGGAGTGTTTCCTTCACTCCCAATTTTTGTAACCTTGCTGATGCGACCATGGAGGTAATTATGCTGACGGTGTCTAGGAGAGCACCCTGTGGTGATGATGGTCGAATGAGGCTTATGGATTCCATACGAGCACTGCATGAACACTTGACTTGGGTTCGTGACAATAAGTGCCTCGGCAAACATTTGGGCAGCTCATGACTAATCTCTGCACACGAATGGCCAAAATTAAACACTGTTTACAGCTCAGCACTTGCTGCACATGTTGCCATCCCCAGCCTATGGCTATACAGAGTCCCCACGTGACGTCATTCTAGTCACCATTCCCAGGTACTACGCGTCCCATTAATGTAGTGGAAGGTAGGTCTAATCTGCACCCCGTGATTGGCGCGGCCCTACTAGAATAAAACGTCATCATCTCACCTACCAATCGTGTGTGTCCTGTGTCCTGTGATGTCGAGATCGCTCTAGCGCTCTTATCAGTTGCTTTGGGAGTCGCGATGAGTTGGCCGCGTGCCGTTCGTTCGGTGATGTGCACAGTTTCTAAGTGCTGGCAAAGTCGCGATTGCAGCGAGTTAGCGCAGTTGAGTGCGCTTCTTAACGAGCACCGGTGTGCTGTGCAGAAGCGACACTTACAGAGAAAACACCGTGATCGTGCGTATTTCGCAGGCACTGCGATAGTGCATTGAGTGGAAGGCACACCTCCAGAGAAGAAGAGGTCACGCGCGTGTGCGACGAATGCAGGAAAACATTGTAATGTAGCGTAATGATTGTTCATGTTCCTGGTCAATATAAATGCTTACCTCAAGGCCAAAAAAAAACAAAAAAACTGGCTTTTACCATGAATCTGTGTTACTCTACAATTGAGGTTCCGTCAAGCAGTGTGCATCATTGCTCATCATTTCTTTAGTCTAAGATTTAAAACAAATATTTGGGTATAGCAAGAGGACTGACAAATCTCTCATCTACTTACAATCTCTATGTAGGGCTCAGAATTAACTGAGCCTTGGCAGTGGGTAGGCAGATACTTGAGAATAACCTAAATGAAACCAGCTAGATTTTCCTTTACAAAGTATAATCATTGCTCACATGCTGAGTTTGTGCACTAGAAAGCTATCTCTACAGGAAAAATGCTGTTGACAAGGAGAACTAAATGACAAGCTTCATTTGTTGCTTCGATTAACAACTGCAGAATTTACGCACATCCTTGAGAACGTGAACAAAACATACTCAAAATTACTCTTGTCTAACCTCATTTCAGTGGATTACTGTGTGCCCCTTGATATTAGGTGTTTTAGGTATGATAGTCTTTATATATATATCTAAAATGACTTTTTATTCATACTCGTTCACACTCATCCATCACTCAAATACTATAATGTTTTGAAAAATGTGTACTAAGGTAAGAGTGCTAAGCTAAGTTAGCATGTAGCTTAGCTTGTTTGTAGCTAGCTAAGCTAGTTACACACGACTGGAAGCTAACTTAGGTTAGCTTCCATTAAGCTAAGCTACCTTCCGCCATCTTGACATCAACACTGTCAAGATGGCGGAAGCTGAACGCAATGGCAGTATCAGAAAGGCACCGCAAGTATTCAATATGCGATTCGAAATTATTCGACCCAAGTCACTATTAGCTTCTTATTTGCTTGAAACATAAAATTTGTTATTCGCACATGCCTGGTTAAGGGGAAACTAAAGCGGTTTTGTACCTTTAAAAAACACTTGCGTCATCTTCATATTGCCTCCAGTATCACGAATATTAAAATTATTTGTCAATTTGAGGCCCGGAGTAGCCATCAAAGCATTTTGACCATAGCACTGAAGCCCCGCCCTCCCGAGGTGTAAGAAGCTAGGAGGAAATTTCTGAGAGACAGCAGCGTCGCAACAAGGATCCTCGGAATCTCTGCAGCTATTGCAAGCTTATTTGAGTGGTCGACAAATTGTGTGCGATTCACCTCATGCTCACGATTTTCGCTCGCCTGTTTGTTTTGACGTAAGTTTAGTACACCTATAAACTTTCATAAAAGATTTAGCGGATGTTGGTCAGGCGTGAAAGATTGTAGCGGGAACTAGGCGTCTGTAGCAGATGATGCACCATTTCACGAGAAAAAAGCACTGCATTGGGCAAGGCTGGTCACATGTGCCGGAACACTGCACGAGAGATGGTGCTTGAGCTTCGGTGGCCAGGTGAAAGTTCTTGACGTGACATCATGCCGAGTGAATTTTTTTAATATTTCTTTGCGTTGGGTGATACTTCTTGAGCAAATAGTGCATATTCAAATTTGCAGGATACAAATACGGAAGAATTTACCTCTAACTCATTTTTTTTGGAGAACCTCTTTAGCTTCCCTTAAAGTGTTTTCAACAAAATCAGTCAGTGGTTCACAAATCGGAGTCGGTGACACTTTTAGCAACGCCCAGCTACCAAAGTAACCATGGAGTGTACTTTACTTCAGTGCTGGCATTCATCACCTTTGCTCATGAAGTGGAACTGCCAACTTTAAGAGAGTGGCAAAAACTCATAAAAAACCAGCAAAAACCATTCGTATGGACAACAGGAATGGAAGTTAGCAGCCTTTTCTTCGTTCAGTGCCCATGCTGTTCTTTTATTGACTGAGGGGGAAGTTTCAAATCATTGATTCCTTCAGTCCAGTTTACCAAACATTGCATACACTTGATGATCTAAAGCAGTTCTGTGTTTGTAGGTGAGCACTGCCCTACGGGTCCTCAGTCACTCCACGGCCACTGCCCTGCGCTTCCTGGTGGAGAATCATGGCTGGAGCACCAACTTCCTCACCACGGCTTGGTTCTTGGAACAGGTCAACAAATGGTTTGATCTTATGAGCAGCAGGCACCCAGTCCTTGCGATCAGCAGGCAAAATGAGGCCTGCTACAAGAACACCTTTGACTTTCTGGTCAAATTTGAGGATCTTTTTCTCCACCTCACTATTGGGGATGGGGCGTTCAAGCCAGTGCAGGCGGGGGTAATTCTCTCTACTAAGTCCATTCTGGACCTGCAGCAAAGTCTCATTGAGAGACATTCTTTTTCATTTGTGCTCACATCCAGATTCACGCAGGACTGCCATGAAAACTTGTTTTCGGTAGTGCGACAGGGCAACCCTATCACAACTTCTTGGAGTTTAAGATGACCTTGAAAATCATCACACACTCGCAGTACCTGAAGGCGTCCAAGGCAGGGTCCTACGAACTGGACGATGCCTCCTTTTACCTGGCTGACCTCGCAGACTTGGATGTACAACCTGCTGTGCCCACCGACATTTTTCTTGAGGAGGTAGAACTCACCATGTCACAACCTGAGGAGGATAGCTTTGACTATTACGCGGGTATGTGGTACGAAGAGTTGTAAAAAATAATGCTACATGTGACAGGTGTGCTGCAGCTGTTCGAGTCCCCATGGCACCTGCAAATAGCCTCCTCAGGCTAAAGAGTTATGTCCCTGACGCTCTGACCTGCCCCTCTGAAGCTGCACGCGCCCTCTTCACAATTTGTGAAAGAGTCTTTCGCAGCCTCATTGCGGATTTGATGCATGCACGGGGCATCCTGGACGGCCTATCAGCGAGGATGGCTGCAGAGAGCCAATGTGTTCAGCTGCCCAACTGCCATGAAATCAAAATGAAGCTCATCAGGGGATTCTGCCATGCACGGCTGCAACTGTTCCTGCGGGGAAAAAGTCGCGAGTTGGCGGCTGGGGCAGCTGAACGCAGGGACTTCGGCAGTCGATGGCAGGACCTCGGAGAACTAATTAGTGTTTTAGATTGCCTTAGTTGATGAAACTGGTGTCCCGTTCTCATTTTTTTTTACTTTGCTTTCTTCTTTGTGTTAAGGGCAGCTTTCAATTTTTGCGTTCCTTGTTTACCGAGGCACTTCTGAATTTTTTTTACTCTTGCAACGGTTGTTTGTGCAAGGCCCTTTTTCTTGTGATCTCCATGTAAGCCTACGTGAAGCCTCTGCATTTTTTTTTATGCTTGCAACACATGTTTGTGGGAAGTTTCTTGTGCTGTGCTTGTAAGCATCTGTAATTTTTTTATGCTTGCTACGGGTCTGTGAGAAGCCCATTTTCTTGTGCTGTGCCTGAGGCCTCTGAATTTTTTTACGCTTACTAGAGATGTTTGTGGGAAGCTCTTTTTCTTATGCTCTACGTGCAAGCCTGCATGAGGCCTCTGGATTTTTTTCATGCTTGCTTCAGATGTTTGTGGGAATCCTTTCTTTTTCTTGTGCTCTGCGTGTAAGTTTGCGTAAGCATCTAAATTTTTTTCACACTTTCTTCAGCTCTTTGTGGGAAGCTTGCTTTTTCTTATGCTCTGCATGTAAGCCTGAGTGAAGTCCCAGAATATTCTTTTTCTTTTACGCTTGCTTCAGATGTTTGTGGGAAGCTTTTCTTTTTATTGTGCTCTGTGCGTATGGCTGCATGAAGCCTCTGAATTTTTTTACGCTTGCTAGGGTTCTTTGTGGGGAGCACTTTTTCTTCTGCTCTGCATGTAGGCCTATGTGAAGCTTTCGCTGTCATGCAAACTTGCTCTTCTGTATCATGTTTTTTTTTTCTTGTCCTTGCTGTGCACTGCTTATGTTTCACTCATCCCTTTTTGCTTCATGTGGATGTTTGTAGCCTACACTTTCCTTCCTGGTGTCTTGCATGAAAGCCTATGCAGAGACTTCCTGCCCATGTTAGCTTGTCTTTTCCCCTGTCATTCTTCTGTTCACTTTCCTCGTGTCATTCGCATACCTCGAAATATGCACTCTCTCTGTATCCTCAAGTTTATCACTTCTGCACTTGCTTAAGACATTTGCAAGCCATCCCTTTACTTCATGAGCTTTCCATGTGAGCCTTCACCGTGCAGCACCTTTACGCTTCTGGGAGCCTGTGCTTTGCCTCTGACCCTTTTGGTTTATCCACTTGCCTATTTTAATTTTGCAGTTTCTGTGTTTTTTCTTGCAGAAGCACGAGACCCATGTCCCCTCCATGGTCATCGGTTGCAGCTTTTGGGTCTGTCTCATTTTATTTCATTGTAGTTGCAGACTTAATTATTGTCAGGTATCTGTGTGTTAGTTTGTTTGCAGTAGACCTAACTGCCGCCATTTCCTTTCCGTGAGTTAGTTTTTGTCAGACGCTCGTACTCAGTGTAACAGGTGCAAGGGCTGGGTTTTGTTGCTGTGTCCAGGATGTTGCAAGGAGACTGCTGGCCAATGGACTTCTTCCAAAACCGACACGCCCCATTGCAGCGAAATACCATGCAGTGCATTCTGGGAACTAGTTGGCCACTCAGTTTCGGTTTCGACTGAGCAGATTCATCTCATGCTATCACACCGCGACTGAACGCACTGCTTGCAATTTCGATTGTCTGACTTTTTTACGAATGTACAATATACTCATTCTCGAGCGATAGAAAACGAAGGCCGGGGCACTTTTTTTGGTTCCCGAAACACCGAATATTTGAGTGCGTATGCAAACGTAATAGGACGTGGCTTAGTCACATCATCTTTGAGTTCAATTTCAATAATCCCGTCTAGTACCATTGAACTACAAGTGAAATTCGGTCACCTGGAGCATTACACATATTTTGTTTGCCACATGTCCGCTTCTTGTTACTTCATTGGGCGAAAAGCAAGCCGCATCTTCACAGGAGTATCAAAGTTGAGCCCAGCGTTGACGCGTAAACTTTTAAGGAAATGCAATAAATTCGACCTCACTACTGCACCAAAGTTACTATGATGTCTTCCTCGTGTCATCATATATCTCCCACTCAAATTTTATGCTGATAGACGATTAAGTTTTCGCAAACGCGGAGATGGGCTAGCTACAACGGAGGCCCTAACAAGCGTCCCCTACTCCTCGCTAAGCCTTTTTGGACGAGCTTTTACTGACGCCCAAGATCTGTGCCTGAACGGTGTGTCCGAAATTATCGCAGCATACTCAGGCAGGAAGAAAGCTAACACATGACAAATATTATGGCCATTAGCAACCGTCAAATGCACTTTGAAAAATTTCGTTCGTTTGGCGCACCGCATAGGGGTTCATACCCGTCCGGCGTACTTCTGGCGAATGGTGCAACATTTTTCACACAAGTGCTCGACTTTTGCTTTCTTAAAACGGTCTGTATGCGCGAATGTGCCTATACGATTGCAGGATAACTTTACGTGCATACGCGATGTTGAATATTAGTAAAATGCAAGTGGGTGGGGACTTCGCTTCGTGCAGTGCTGCGGGTCAGTACAGATAAGAGATAAGAAGCTTTTCAGTGGCACCTCCGAGTTTTACTTCGCATACACAGGCGTATTAAGAAAACAGTAATTGCAAAAAGTAGTATTTCTTCTATGGACGCACAAAACGAACAAACTTCCTGATCAACAACATATAATGTAAAGGCGCGAGCTTGATGTATGCATACTTATTGGTTGCTACAGCCTGTTGATTCGTACATAAGCAAGATCCCCGAGCTTCGCAGCGTCGAGATTCCCAGCACTGGCTCGTCCAGATACCTCGAAACGCTAACAAAAAGGCTCAAGTACAAAAATAGAACAAGCATGTGTTAAGAGAAGCTATATACGTCTCGGGCTTGTGCTAAAGCTTCGAGGTCTGGCCATTTAGGTTAGTTTATAGACCACAAATGACGCTCTCGGGACCAGAAAACATGAGATAATGGCCGTTTATAGTCCACGCTTTGTGTGTAATCTCTGGTCGACGTGTCGATCGAAACCGAAACCATGCCACTCTCCTCCCTGGCCAACTAGTTCCCAGAGTGCAACGCGCGCCATGTTGCATGCAGGGCTTTATGGAAGTAGTCTGTTGTGTGCATGCATCAAGAATAGTTGTGTGTCAGAAGTTCCTTTATTTCCTTGTTTTTTGACTCCATACAGACCAATGTTGAAATTGTTGGTGGCTGCTTCATCCATGGAGTGCAAGGATCATACCTATTTGTTTATTAGGGAATAATTGACATGGCCGTGTTATACATGTTTGTTACATGGTCACTGGAAAGTGTGGGAAAAGAGAGAAAGCCCATGGCCGTTGCACAGGGAAGCCCCCAGAAACACTGACCCCTAGTGGTGGCATGATCCAACACTTTGCCGCACAAGCTAAATGTTCATCTTGGTTGGTGTCCCCCGTGCCTGGGTGGGGCATCCTTGCACTGCTTAAAATGCCTGCTCAGTTCCTGGTCCATAGCCTGGTTTTTTCACTTGTTAACTGCCAATCAAGTTAGTGCCCAGTGGTAATTTCATCATCTGACTAAAAATGAGTTGAGTTAAAGCGTCTGGGGCACAACTGGCCCAGGTGGTGCTTCATTGTGCCATGGTGGATTTTACCAAAGTCATGCAGTTTTCGACAGCCTGGAAGATGATCTTGGTCGCCATTGTTCTACAGCTCCCATGTTTCTTTCAAAAACAGGGCTGCTTTCTTTAAGCTTGCTAGGTCTTTCCAGGTCTACCTTTGGCTCCTGGGTCTCAGTGATGAGGTCCATGCAGCAAACTCTAGGACAAAAGTTGAACACGAGCTCTGTTGGAGATTGTCCTCCTGTGGTAGGCGGTGTGCAAGGGTACACAAGGAGCCATCTTGGCAAGTATGCGGCCAAAGAACCACCCGAGAGTTTCTTTAGACTGTCCTTGATCGTTCTGACAGCTCTCTCGGGAAGTCTGTTTGACTGTGGATAGTTAGGTGCAGTCCTTAGGTGGCCAATTCCATTCTGAGTAATGAAGTCGGTAAACAGCGTGCCGGGGAGTGGTGTTCCATTATTGGACACCAAGCAAACAGGAAGTCCTAACCAGGCGACCGTGTTCCTCAGATATTCGACTGTTGCAGTGGAGTTGGCTGGCTGCTGATGCCAGTGGTTTCTTTCAATCTTGGTAACTGTTTACCACAATTAGCACCGTTTTACCTTCGATAGGTGCAGTGCAGTCCATGTAAATTCTTGTCCATGGAGCTGTGGGTTCTGGCCAAGCTTGTGGCTCTGCTTCTGGTGGCATTAATGCAGCCTGTTGGCGTATTGTTCAAGGTTGTACGGCATCAACCATTGCCTTACCTAATTGCGTTGATACCCATGCATGTGTCATGGAATTCTTGGAAGAAGGTTAACCTCCTATGGGCCTTTTGACTCCGTGGATGTTGTGTGACGACACTGGTCCAACTGCCTCTGGAGGTGTGGCACATTCAGGATCAGTTCCTCAGTGTGGTTGCGATACACCAGGAGCCTGACGCACCAGTGTCTGCTTTGCCTTGTTAAAGCCGTCGTCTTACACACCTCTATTTCACATTTTTCCGGAGCAGGTGGTTGAATGGAGCCAATAGCTGAAACATTTG